CAAATTGATAGGAATTATTTAAGAACAATACTGATTTGTTGAACAAATTGATAAGAATTATTAAAAAAAACATTTCAAGATGTCAATCAAACATTCTAGAGGAATAATTAAAATAGAACATGAAAAGGAAGGTTTTTTTGGGGGGGGAGGGGTTTCTCCCCCAGAAAACTTGGACACAAATTTGCAAGTGATTCACATATTAGACACAGACAAGGATGAGAGTATCTGCAGGGAGTTCTACAAATATTTCATATTCTCACCTGTGTTCTACAAATATTTCATATTCTCACCTGTGTTCTACAAATATTTCATATTCTTACCTGTGTTCTACAAATATTTCAATTTCTCACCTGTGTTCTATAAATATTTCAAATTCTCACCTGTGTTCTACAAATATTTCAAATTCTCACCTATCTGTTTTTAGCAGTGTTTGAAATAACCTTGTGCCCAACTGCCTGAGATGCATAAACTTTGCTGATGGTGAGCGATGTCAGACTGGACATAATCATTAAACTTAGTTTAACTGTTTAACAATCCAAGCATCAGAACTCGTAAATCTTTACATTTGCATATGTTTTCTCTTATATAACATGTTAGATCAATCCATTAATTATATCACAAGGTCAAAGGGTCAAAGTTGTTCATCCAAAGGAAGGTCTTGTCACAAGGATTACACATGTGAAGAATGAAAGCCCTAGCACCAACTGTTCACAAAAGTTATGGCCAAGGTTAAAGTTGGGTAAAATTTTGTAAAACTGGATCAAACTCCATGGTCAAAAGGTCAAATGTGATGGTTCCCAAAGAAAGGTCTTGTCATAAGGAATACACATGTGAAATATGAACGCTATAGCTCCAACCAATCAAAAGTTATGAGCAATGTTAAAGTTTTTGCGGACAAACAGACAGACAGAGGGACAGACAGGGCAAAAACTATATACCCCTGAATCTTCGATACGGGGGCATAAAAATCTAGGTCAGATCCAGCATCCAAAGCATATGTGGTAGTGTCCATCCCTAGATTCAACGTCCATGCAAGTTTGGTCCAGGTAGGGCTTATAATTACTTGGGAATGGACCTGCTCCAAAAATTTAACTTAGCCACTTATCTGGAAAATCTAGGTCAGATCCAGCATCCGATGCTTGTGTGGTAGTGTCCAACCCTAGATGCATCATCCATGCGGACAAACAGACAGACAGATGGACGGACAAGGCAAAAACTATATACCATGCAAGTTTGGTCCAGGTAGGGCTTATAGTTACTTGGGAGTGGACTTGCACCTAAAACTTTAACCGGGACGTCGACGCCAACGCCGGGGTTATAGCATAAGATCATCTTGTCTTCACTGAGGTGAGCTAAAAATTACTTTCATAGTTTTTAATGGTTAGGTAGACTTGTAAATAATATAGAACTTTTCCTTTCTTAACATATCTTCATACTTTTTCAGCTGCTTTATGGAATGCCACTTGTCCCTCTAAGAAGTTGTACTGACTAATTAGATCGGTGAACTATTAAGTAGGTTAGAGTCTCATGTCAATGGTTAATATATTTCTTTAAAAAGATTAGAATTTTTTTCAGGGATTGTGGTGTTATAATCATCACACAAATAAAACTTGTATTCATAGATAAAAATGGGACAAAATACCTTAGCTTTGTACATTTACTGTTCTTCAGAGACCAAGAGAGGCCAATGCGAGATGGAACGAGATGGGTTTACTAATAGTGCTCAAGAACTATTGTTCTGTTTAGTCCACAGGGGGAGAGTGACAAATGGGGGCAGGTACAAGCAAGTAAATAGGTCAACTTTTTAAAGATTTGTTACCGAGTACTGAATAAATTATTTTGCTGATCCCTGACCATTCTCTTTCTTCTGCTTTCGGGCAACATAGCTTAATTTATCAGCTTATTTTGTTTTATTTTATACTTCAATCTATGGATCCTTTATAGATACATTATACTCAGGTGACCATTAAGGCCCTTGGGCCTCTTGTTTTATGTTAAGTTTCAAACACTGGCTTTATTTTGGTATATTTTGTCAGAGTATGCAAGCACTTTTCCAAACAAACAGTAGTTTGTCAAATAATAATTAAGCAAATGCTAGGATGCATGATATACATAGTTCTTGTTATGCTTACAGGGATCAGGCCAACATACATATATTTATGATCTTGATAGGTCAAGTTGACTCATGTCTGCATTGTGGCCCATTGGTAGGTCAGATTGACTCATGTCTTCATTGTGGCCCATTAGTAGGTCAGATTGACTCATGTCTGCATTGTAGCCCACTGGTAGGTCAGATTAACTCATGTCTGCATTGTGGCCCATTGACAGGTCAGACTGGCTTTTGTCTGCTTTGTGGCCCACTAGTAGGTCAGATTGACTAATGTCTGCATTGTGGCCCACTAGTAGGTCAGATTGACTCATGTCTGCATTGTGGCCCATTGGTAGGTCAGATTGACTGTGGTCCATTAGGCCATATTCAACCCATCAAATGGTGCAGAAATTTTTTTTTAAATCAATAAAAAATTTAACACTTTTTAAGTTTATTAAAATGTTTGCATCAACACATACATGTACATTGTTTCGAGTTCATTCTAATTTTTGCAAAGGGATTTACAGAACTTTTTTTGACAAAGCTACAACTTTTAAAACATACTAGTGTACCTCTAAATCTGTTAATTCCTTGTTCAATTTAACTAAGCATTTCAAGTTGTGAAGTTTAAGACCGTAGAATATTTGTTAATTTATTGTCTCCCTTTGGGAAAGAATTTTTTTAGCTATGTCCTGGATAGTGGTTTCACTGGTTTGATGAGGAAAATCAACACACACACACACACACACACAAAATGCCTTTCTGCACTAAAGATTTTATATTCATATTTGAATATTGCACTTTATAAAATTGCACAATTTGAAGTATTTTGATGTACATGTATATCCATCATGAATCGTCTTGTTAAAGCTGAAATCTCTGTATCAGGATATGCTTAGCTTTTAACACAAATTATGATATGTTTTTAAAGTATCATATATATATAATTAAATATTCACACAAAAAAAAACACATCAAAAAATGAAGTTTATCCCAGACAGTCTACCTAAAAGTTCAAAACAATGTAAAATAAATAAATAAGTATATGTTATACATGTAGTATCAAATCAAATTAGCATGAACAGAAGCCCCAGTATATGTTACGTATAGAAAAATGAAATGTATAATAAAAAAAAAACAATACAGATCTAATATATTGTACAGTCATTAGTCTCTATAAAAAATACAAGTTAGTACAAATGTACTGATATGATCATTGGATGATTTTAAATGCTGTATGTGTACTTAAAAAAGCGGGCTTCATATTTTAGCAGCTTTGGCGCAGACAGCGATGTGCTAATTCATGAATACTGCTAAGAAATCATTTATATATACAATACAGGCACGGACCTGTGTAGTGCTAATTCATAATTACGCCAACAACTCCATACCCGGTGATTGTGCTAAAATTTGAATACGCCAATTTATGTACACGTAATTTATTGAATACTCTAAAACAAGTAGATTTTGGTGTACAAATGTACTGATATGATCATTTAGTAGATTTTGGTGTACAAATGTACTGATATGATCATTTAGTAGATTTTGGTGTACAAATGTACTGATATGTTCATTTAGTAGATTTTAGTCTACTAGTCTTTGGTCTTGATAGAACAATTGAATGATAATTACGTTTATTGCTCCAACATTGTAATTTTAAAGAATTAGTTATAATGAAAATAATACCCCCACTGTATAAGTATTGCATCTCAACATAACATATGCAGTATGTTGTGAAATCTTAGACAATGCATAGAAAAAATGCTTACATGAATTAATGCTATCATGTTTCATTCACAGTGATATATTGTACGTGTACTGTTTTAGCATACAAAGTGATGTACATTTATTATATAGCTAATAAATAATCTATAATAAAAAAAATACTAAAATTCTACAGAATTTTAGCATCCAATATCTTGGCTTTTATTGTAGCCGAGTATGCAAAATGTATTCCGAAACATTCTGGGAGCAAGTGTTCAATATCGAACCCTCTGTATAAACAAGAAAAGTCGTCTGGTCAACCTCTCAAAGGCAATATTTATGATATTTAGTAGTGGCAGCTTGGTAAGATGTGTCTATTTTCACACAAAATTGAAATTATTAATTAATAATTTAGTAAATATAAGCCTCAATAAAACCTCAGTAAGTAAAACATAACACTTGGTAGGGTCACTGGAAGGATGTGATACTGAACACTAACTGGACAGACTCTGATATTGCAGTTTTAATTTAAATACCAGTACTAAAAAATCTCATTTATTTTAAGTTTTTTAATTTAATAATTATTATAAATCAATAGGAAAATGTTTTAGCTATCTAATAAAAGGAGTTATTGAACTTATATTGGGGAATATTGAGACAAGTTGGCTGTACAAATGCACGAGCTTGCGAGTGTATTTATACAGCCAACAAAAACCCCATAATATAAGCTTGTAAAGTGTTTATACTATTTTATTGGGTGTAAATTTTGAATACTCAAAAACAAGTATATGAACAATATACTGATATTGATCATGGATGAGTATGCACATTACTGCATCAGCAGTACCAAAATATAAATCTCACTAAGGATGAACACAGTCTACCAGGGGATTCAAAAACCCCTGGACTACAATGCTCTTTACAGCACAATATAATATAGCGCTTTAGCAAAATACAGCACAATATAAGGTAGTGCTTTAGCAAAATACAGCACAATATAAGGTAGCCCTTTAGCAAAATGCAGCACAATATAATATAGTGCTTTAGCAAAATTAAACTTAATATAATGTAGTGCTTAAGCAAAATACAGCACAATGTAATGTAGAGCTTAAGCAAAATACAGCACAATATAATATAGTGCTTTAGCAAAATACAGTACAATATAATGTAGTGCTTTAGCAAAATACAGTACAATATAAGGTAGCCCTTTAATAAAATACAGAAAAACAGCTATCAAAAATATTTCCTATAACATTATTTCAGTCTCTCTTTTACAAAAACAAGTACAGTGTATATCACAGCATATGATGAGACCAGTAGGTGATCACTGGTTTAAACAAATGATTTTTTTTCTGGCCCAATAAATTACTCTGCATTCTTTTGGATAAACTCTTCATCCTCTGTTGAAAATTCTTCCAAATTTTATGGATTAAATGCCATTACAGCCTATTCCACGTAATATATCAAAATCGCTTATTTTGAAATAGAACTTTGCAATAAAACATTGTTGAAATCACTTCTATTGAATTATCTTTTAGTTTGAAGTAAATTATTGGTCCGCTGAGCTAATAATGTGTATTCTTTTGTTATGATCAATCATGTAATTGGTTAAGGTTTGTTTATGGTTTGTTAGATCAGATAGAAATTTAAAAACATTATGCTCACATGGCCAATTTTGCTAATTTAGAACTTGGGTCAAATTGAAAAAAATAATGTGTTTGTTTGTTGAATTTTAACATTTCTGAAGTCGACTGTATTGCAGTGTGGTCTTTTGGTGGCAGTTTTTGTTTCAGTGGTTAATTCTTTTGTTAGGGTGATTGATTGTGTGGTTTAACACCAGGCAGCACTCTGTCTACACTTGCCAACAAACCACATGTACATTAACTTATTCCTCCTATTCAGACTCTGGAACTCTGGGTCATTAGTTGAGGGGGACCATTCTAAAGCAAACTCCTTAGTCTAAAGAGATAAAATGGAAACAAACAAAATCATTTCAAAATTCTTGAAAATAAATTATTATAAAAAGATACAGAAGCAGGATAAAATTGATTTACATGTAAAATGCCTGACAAACCAGTGAAATGTATACATGTAGAATATTTGATAGACTATGTATACATGTAGAATATTTGATAGACTATGTATACATGTAGAATACTTGATAGACCAGTGAAATGTGTACATGTAGAATACCTGATAGACTAGTGAATTGTATACATGTAGAATACTTGATAGACCAGTGAAATGTATACATGTAGATTACCTGATAGACTAGTGAATTGTATACACGTAGAATACTTGATAGACCAGTGAAATGTATACATGTAGAATACTTGATAGACTATGTTACATGTAGAATACTTGATAGACCAGTGAAATGTATACATGTAGAATACTTGAAAGACCAGTGAAATGTATACATGTAGAATACTTGATAGACCAGTGAAATGTATACATATAGAATAACTGACAGACCAGTGAAATGTATACATGTAGAATACTTGATAGACCAGTGAAATGTATACATGTAGAAAACCTGATAGACCAGTGAAATATATACTAGTACTGTTAAGTATGGGTAGAGATTCCAAATCCCTTGGACATAACCAAGATATTGACATTCGAGATATCTAAGTTCCAACTGTACTTTACATACTAAAATACTCTATGCTAATGCAGACATTAAATCATATTTGGAAATGCTACTACAATGTTTTACACAGACCACTATTGCATTATTTTTTGACTCTGAATAAGTTTCCACCTTCAAAGAATGTTTTTTTTTCAATAAGCCAGATACAGACTGCAATGTATGGGAGATAACTCTAACATTCCCTAATGAAGTATCTTTTTTAACATCATTAGTTTGCTTTTACTTTTGGTCAGAGAGCTTACCATTTTCTGTGGAAGGACACGACCACAGCTTCCTTTATTGATATGCTCTAAATATGCCAGCTTCAGTGTTTTCTTCATTGTCAGAGACACACATTGGCTACATAACTTACACATCTACAAAACAAACTTCCATATTTTATCAAGTTACTCTTTTATTGGAAATGCTTATATCAACATGTATTTATATTACATGTATTATCATTATCTTGATCATGTTTTAAACCTCTATCAAAATGGATAATGGATGTCAGTTATTAGATATTTTTTTTTCATATCCCAAACTTTACATTCCAACAATTACAATCAATTAATGTACATATGTGTGCAGTTTTAAAAATTTAATTTTGAGGTAGATTTCCTTATTATAAAATTAATGAAAAGAAAAATAACACTAAAGAAGAAACACTTTTTATGTCTCTTCATATTATATCCTAGAAGTGTCATATTGTTGACATTATGCAGTGTGTGCGGACTAGCTCATGCAAGAATTATGTGATCAAGGAAATCCCTGTTTAGTGAATGGACATTTTCCCCCATTTTTGGGGGTTATTTTATATCCCCTTGCCAAAGGACTCAGGCTAGAAAACATAATGCATGTTGCATAAAAATCACATCCAATCACAAAACCTTGGAAATCCTATATATTGTAGATACAGATCATGTTCAAAGAATGTGACATGAATGTATAAAACTAGCTGTGATAAAGTATCCCTTTCCATTCAGATAAAAACAAAACTGAGGGGGACTTCAGAAAAACAGGTTTATAATGAAGTGACAGGGATGGACGATTTTCCTTTGTTATAAGCGAAATTTGTTATATCCCTTAAGTTTACACTATAGTTTAGTCAATTCATCATAAGCGTATTCTCTATAAGTGTGTTTTACTGTACATCATTGCAGCTATTATAAAACTGACTTACCTCTTCCCTGCAGCTATGTAGACATGATTTACTGAGGCACCACTCTGGGAACACAGATATATCTTTGTCTGAGACCCTCATATTTGCTTCATCCTCCGAACTTAAGTCAAAGACAAAATACAAAGCTTTGAAATTCATTTAATTCCTACCTGGTATCCTTAATATAGGTGTGGTGATGTATACGCAGAACAAAACAAGAAGTCTGTGAGCCAATGCTCACTACTAATACCCCGCTCTGATGTGTATATACGCTCTCATGTGAACTGTGAGGAGTTTTTGCTGAAAAAACTGTGATGGAAATTTGCTATGGACAGATGCATGGATAAACAAGAAGTTGACATTAGATTCGTACAAAAATGAATCCCACCATATGGCATGCCTAAACAAAGATTGTGCTAAAATTTCAAGCATCTGCAAAGAGTAGTTGCTGAGAAAACTGCGAGGAAAATTTGTTACAGACAGACAGAAACACAAGGGTAAAACAGTATACCCCGCTCTCCTTTGGAGTGGGGGTTTAAAAAAAGAAGCAGATCTTAAATTACTATAGTATGATGCTTCAACTTAACATTCTTTTTCGTAAGAATTTGTATTACATAAACTGTACAATATTTCTGGATAAGAATTCATATTACCGGTATATAAACTGTACAATATTTCTGGACAATCCCCAAAATAGATCATAACTGTATATTTCAATACAGTTTATACATGTAGATGTAATGAAATATAAGCATACCGACTGCAAAATCTATATAAATTGGTGCAGAAAAATTACATTTTAGCAATCACTGTCTGTTTGTTAGTCTGTCTGTAAAAACTTTTACTGGACATTATAACTGGTATATTTGTTAAATTATAGACTCATATTTATTACACAGGTAGATATTTATGTGAGCTACATGTATAACTCAGGTGTAACCTAGTATCATTTTTTTTCACAGGAACTGGATTTTTAGGAAAAGAAAATAATTGATTTTGTGCTCAAAGAGATCAAAGTAAAAAAAAAAGAAACAAGATTATCTAAGTTAACACCAATAGGTCCTGTGTGATTTTGTCAGAAATCCAGCCATTCTACTTATCTAAAAGTCAGAATGGAGAGTTGCCAAGAAAACAGAAATACATGTATTATTAAATTTGATCTCATTACTGAACAGATATGAAAAATGTGAATCGGATACCTTTTAGAGAAGTCATTTTTGACTGGCCTGGTGACTAAGACAACACTTAGTAAGTTGAACACAACTTTTTCATACAACTCCGCATTTTCCTGGAAGTGACCTGAGGACAGGTTAGGAGACATGTTCACCTGGAAATTACACACATGAACAGAAAAACATTATAATAGTGAATTGCCAAAGAGAGATAATATTGCTCTGTTGTGTCCATTATTTTTTCTCTCCTTTTTCCTACTGGGAAAAAAAATGTTCATTTGATATAGGCACAAATTTATTTTATCCATGTTTAGTATGATTTAATATACCTATAATCAATGTACCACAATCACATGCTTTATTCAATTTAACAGATAACAAAAGTGTATAGCAAAAATGCTATAGATTATGAAAATAATATACATGTATTTATCCTTTAACATTGAACACAGTCTATCATTTACCTCCATAAGGTACACATTTAAATCCTCATCTAGGGCAAAATCAAATCGAACCATTTCAAAGAAATTTCTGCAAAACAGTATAAGTACTAAATTATTACTTGCAAGTTACATTTTATAGAGAATATGTGTGTATTTTATAGCCATTGTTTAACATAAAATTACTTGTACTGAGGAAAGCACTACCTAAGTTTTTGGAACTTGTGTCCAATCCCTTTGACTTGTTGTCAAAAAAAATATGTTCAAAACAAGTTTTGTACTAACCTTGAAGATGAGTATTTACTTGCAGAAGAAATGATGGCAGCCTCCTTCTGTAAGTAAACAGTCTTGATGGCAGCAGAAATATCTCTCCACAGCTTCTTAGCATTGTGACCTACAAGGCAAAGTCAAAGTTATCTCCCTTGCTGCATTCATTTGGAAACAGAAAAGATAAACCAAGTATCATGTGTCTGGGTATGATAAGTATTCAAATTTTGATTTTATAGAACTACATAAAAGTGTGTCCTATTCAATTTTATGAATACAATAGTTCTAAACATGATCTTAAGGAAACAAGTCTGCGGTACATTAACTTACATAAATACAGTAATTTAATATATATTCCTCACCCTGACTTTCCAAATAAGCATCAAATGATTCCTTAAAGTTGAAATTTAATTCTCTGTACAACTTCTTCAGGGATGGAATCTATATATATGAAATAAATAATCAGTAAACTTTCCTTTATAAATCACTCAATCCCCTTCAAGTACAAATGGCCTCATATAACCCTTGGGGGTCGTGATTTAAATAAACTTGAATCTACACTACCTGAGGATGCTTCTATTTTTATATGATTAATCATGGCTTCTTGAGAAGGTTTTAATAGATTTTTTTCCTAATCATTAATTATTATTATGCAAAACTTTGATCTCCTATCATGGTCTCAGGGGTCATGATTCGAAGAAACTTTAATCTACACCACCTGAAGATTTGAAGAAACTTGTTTCCATATTAATACGACTAATCATGGCTTTGCTGTTCTTGAGAAGAGACTTTTAATGATTTGACTCTACATATTCCTATGCATAACTTTGATCCCCTGTTGTGTCCCCATCCTATCCCCTGGTGTCATGATCTGAACAAACTTGAACCAACACTGTGTAACAAAGCTTTCACATAAGTTTATTCTTTTCTGGCCAGCTGGTTCTTATGAATATTTACTAATTCATATTAATTATCTCCTCTTGAAAGATGGTGTGGCCCTTCATTTGAACAAATTTAAATCTCCTTTATCCCAGGATGCTCTATGCCAAGTTTGGTTGAAAATGGCATGGTGATTCTGGAGATGAAATTTTGAAAAAGTTAATGATGACGCTAACAACAACATACAAAGTCCAAATTTCCATCAGAAAAGCTCACTAGAGCAGAGCCTTGGACTAGGACGAGCTAAAATGTTCAACTTTTAGGTAGACTACAATACTGGCTGGCTGTTTTACAAAAGAACTTATGACTAAGACCAGAGTATGTTTTTGTGAATACTGAGTATTTTTCTTCCTTTAATAAAATTGATAAAGGTATATAGAATTTTTAAGACTCACAGAAAAATATTTTTAAAGAATAATTTTAATAAAAAATATAAGGTAGGCAAGATGTTAGACAATGCCAGAATTATTGGTGTTAGTATTAAGTCCTTTTGTAAAATGGACCCCAGAAGTTTGGAGATTGCAGATTTCTATTAAATAAACAAGATACAGATTTTACCTCCCAGACTGGCATGTAAGCATCACCAACAACGTACTTGTTAATGTTACGGGCATCAAAAGGGTAGTAATCTTGGGAACAGAACCTACAAATATTATAATGTCACTGCTATAGAGCTACAAATATTATAATGTCACTGCTATAGAGCTACAAATATTATAATGTCACTGCTATTGAGCTACAAATATTATGTCACTGCTATAGAGCTACAAATACTATAATGTCACTGCAATAGAGCTAAAAATTGACATAACCAAATTTGTTTATTTACTTAACTATAACAATGATAGAGAACTTCATTCAGTGGACATTTTGTATACAAATGAGAAAAACTGTGCAATGACAACAATGCAGAAAAGTTAATTTTTATCAGTGATGGAAATTGGTATCAATACCTAGGATGAAAAAATGCTCTGCTAAACATATGTTTAGCACATTAACATAAGACTCTATCTATGTGTATATTACATATGTAAGACTCCAAAGTCCGATGGTCATGCCAAAGTCCGATGGTCTCGCCAAAGTTCAATGGTCTGCGCCAAACCCCATTGGTTTGATGTCGGTACGGACGCCAAAGTCGAATGATTTTGCCATAGTCTGATGGCTCGTTTCTTATAAGACGCACTGCACTAAAGTGCGATGGTCTGATATGCCAAAGTCCTATGGTGCAGAGAAACAATCAACATTTATGACTCACAATATTCCAATTTCAATCCTCGACATTGTTGTCCTGCATTCAAAAGCCATCAATTCAGTATTCGTCCTCGCATACAATTTTACTGATTTTGCTTATTGCTTGCACCCACCAGAGCCATTAGGGTTAGTCCTTGCACACCACTCGACTGATCAGGGTTAGTCCTTGCACACTATAGAACTGATTATGGGATAGCTTTGCACCAACCCGAGAGATTTAGGGTTAGTCCTCGCAAAATATTCAACTGATCCACCCAAGATATCTAGGTTATAGTACTTATACACTTTTTGACCGATTAGGATTAGTCTCGCACCTATCCGAGAGGTTAGGGTTAGTCTTTGCATATTATATTTATTTGTATCAAAGATCTTGGCATGGCACGGCATTGCAATTTGACGCAGTAGTACTATGACGTCACAAGTATTAATTGTTTTTGGCACCATTGGACTTTGGCGTCACAAACCATCAGGGTTTGGTGCAGCCATCGGACTCTGGCGTGACCATCGGACTTTGGAATCCCATTGCACGAGTCCTACATATATATTTTACAATTAAAGAAAAAAATTATCAATCATGCATCATTGCATGGTGCCAGTATTAGACCAGAATCTTTGCAGCTTTTAATTTCATTTACTGGTAGTATGTAATGGTTATAAGCCAAAAACTGTCCATTATGTCAGATATTAGTCAGTCCGAGGTGCATTAGTGCCTAAGAGAGTCTAATATCTGACATACTGGTCAGTTTGAGGCTTATAACTTAGTGAAACATTTCACCAATATCGAATGTAGAAATTTAGCAGCTTAAATTAAAAATATTTCACAAGATAATCCTGCATGAAATTTGCATGAATAATCTCAGACTCTAGAATATACTATGGATGTCAAAATGATGTTCTCTTTGATGTCAAGTTATACTGACCTGAATAAAGCCTCAGATTCTAGAGTATACACTCTCAGTGGATCTATGGATGTCAATATGGTGTATACTCCAATGTCAAACTTTCTGTAATCAGTTTTAATTTATAAAATCACAATACATATCTGTATAAGAAAGAGGTCAGAAATATGGTTAAGCTTTCAACTGAGTTCATTTTGAATTTTTCTTAAAATCCTACATCCTACAAAAACATACAATGAAGTCTCCAAATACAAGTCATTTCCAGTCAATCGTATGTATTTTATGCCATATTGTTTAAATTAAAGCACAAAAAACTTAATAAATACACTGGTCATAATGAATTGGTCTTTCTGTCTATAATCTATAACAAAATGGCAAACGAAATAATGTAACAGGCACATTGAAGACAGAGATGTTTGCACTTTACTGATAGGCTACTTTCATTTTTGTTCATGCAGCATGGCTGACACAAAGTTGTAGGTACACAATAATAGCTGCAAAATATGGCACTAGTGGCAACCCTGTATTTACTTAGAGCTATAAAGTATTCTTTAGGAAAATACAAAAACTAAAATTGTATTTACTTTGCCTGGGCACAGTTGCATTGCTGTTTTTGTTTAAAATTTGAAATTTCTATTTTTATTAAAAAATATCCAAGTTTAATGGATTGAACTCACATGAAAATTCTTAAAATTCAATGACAAAAACATTCTTCATAACATCACGTCAAACACCTTGTGTTTGTAAACATTGGGCACAAGCTCTGTTATTGTTAATGTTTACGTTTTACTGGGTGTGTTCAATTTGTTTACTCTGCACACATCATTGAGCATGGACTGACAATACAAGTGAGTTGGTTTTGCTTTCTCACCTTTGTAAATTTTCTGTATTGTACTTTAAATATTTTTCATTGATACACGACAAATTTTCCACTTTCCTTAACAGCGGTATTATCAATTAACAGTAGATACTTCCATTCATATGTAGACTCGATATATCCCAGTGAGCTTGATATAAAAGATACCACAGAGTCTGACACATCTGTTTCATATTTAGATATTTTACTAGAAAAAGACGTTAATGGTAACCTAACAACAAAGCTTTATGATAAACATGATTTCAACTTCCCTCACTAAAGCAGCAATATACCCTTATCACCTGCATATGGGGTTTATGTCTCTCAGTTAATTCGATACACAAGAGAATGCTCTAAGTATGAACAATTTCTAAAATGAGGCAAGCTATTGACAAACAAGTTAATGAAACAAGGATATCAATAGTCTCGTTTGAAGTCATCATTTCGCAAGTTTTATGGTCGATACAATGACCTTGTCAGCACATACAACCTATCATTGAGTCAAATGCTGACTGACGTTTTTCATACTAATTGCTAGACCATTATTTATACCTTGAACTGTCTACAGATTTTTCCGATCATGACAAGGAGCACAGGCAGGTGTGACAGATCAGCAGGAGATGCTCACTCCTCCATGGCACCTGATCCCACTTCTAAATTTTGAGGTCCGTGTTTGCTCTGCTCCAAATTTGTATTGTTTCGTTGGACTTTTGAGATTGAATACTGAACATTATCTTCATATTTTATTCACTGTGCATATACACATCAATGAAATATGAAAATAACAAATAGTGATCAAGTTCAAAAGTCCACTGGAACAATACATAAACACAGACTTCTAAAAACATCAAAGTTGGGATCAGGTGCCAAGGAGGAGTAAGCATCCTCTATTGACATGTCACATCAACCTTGTGTTCCTTGTTATGCTTGGGAAAATGGAAAAATCTGTGGACAATTCAGTGTGAAAATAATTCTTATATAACTAACCAAAATTCTTATATTTGTTTTTTTTTTTTTAGAAATATTGTATATGTTGTTAAACATTCACCAACTTACATATATTGTCAAGTACATTTTGTTTCCTTGTGTCACCTTCTCAGTAGCTGGACAACAATGTAACAGGATAAAAGTAAATGTTATAACACTCATTCTCACAAACTATTTTGTTACTCATTGGAAGAAACTAAAAAACTACGTATATCTTTATATTTGTTAGAAACCAAAGTGAACAGCAAACATATCTTACCTGCCATCAATAAGAAATGGTTGATCAACAAACACCTGAACAAAAGAGCCTTCATCTGACAAGTCTAGTTCTGTAAATAGACAAGGGAAGTTCCTACAGTACTGACCCTGTACATGTTTGATCTTGATTCCTACAGTACTGACCCTGTACATATTTGATCTTGATTCCTACAGTACTGACCCTGTACATATTTGATCTTGATTCCTAGAGTACTGACCCTGTACATATTTGATCTTGATTCCTACAGTACTGACCCTGTACATATTTGATCTTGATTCCTACAGTACTGACCCTGTACATATTTGATCTCGATTATTACAGTTCTGACCCTGTACATGTTTAATCTTGATTCCTACAGTACTGACTAGGGCTGTATACTGATATATATCGATACGTATCGATATTCAAGAATGCATTGTATCGAAGAAATAACTTCCAATACGTATCGGGCAGGCAGTTTTCTTATAATTTTGTGAAAAAGTTAGGAATTTCAATCACCAAAGATTATACTTGACTGTTCTGAATTAAAACAGATCAATAATGGTTTAAACATTAAGGAGATAGGGCACCTTAAATAATTATTATAAAATGCATAGGTAATTTTTTTAAACATGTTGGTTTTACAGTCATTAAAAGTTTGAATTTGAAGTGTAATTTGTAATGACAGTGAGTATTAGACAAGAACTTTGAAATGGTTTATAAAACACTCATTTTTTATAAATTTTATGCATTAAATGATTTACAAGAGTTTTTTGATAGACATGCTAAAGTATCCAATATATCACATATCGCTTTATAAAATATTGTATCGTATCGTATTGAAATTCTTTGCTCAATACACAGCCCTAGCACTGACCCTGTACATGTTAAATCTTGATTCCTACAGTACTGACCTTGTACATGTTTGATCTTGATTCCTACAGTACTGACCCTGTACATATTTGATCTCGATTCCTACAGTACTGACCCTGTACATGTTTAATCTTGATTCCTACAGTACTGACCCTGTACATGTTTAATCTTGATTCCTAGAGTACTGACCCTGTACATGTTTGATCTTGATTCCTAGAGTACTGACCCTGTACATGTTTGATCTTGATTCCTACAGTACTGACCCTGTACATATTTGATCTTGATTCCTACAGTTCTGACCCTGTACATGTTTGATATTGATTCCTACAGTACTGACCCTGTACATATTTGATCTCGATTCCTACAGTACTGACCTTGTACATGTTTGATCTTGATTCCTACAGTACTGACCCTGTACATATTTGATCTCGATTCCTACAGTACTGACCCTGTACATGTTTAATCTTGATTCCTACAGTACTGACCCTGTACATATTTGATCTCGATTCCTACAGTTCTGACCCTGTAAATGTTTAATCTTGATTCCTACAGTACTGACCTTGTACATGTTTAATCTTGATTCCTACAGTACTGACCCTGTACATATTTGATCTCAATTCCTACAGTACTGACCCTGTACATATTTGATCTTGATTCTTACAGTACTGACCCTGTACATGTTTAATCTTGATTCCTACAGTACTGACCCTGTACATATTTGATCTTGATTCCTACAGTACTGACCCTGTACATGTTTAATCTTGATTCCTATAGTACTGACCCTGTACATGTTTAATCTTGATTCCTACAGTACTGACCCTGTACATATTTGATCTTGATTCCTACAGTACTGACCCTGTACATGTTTAATCTCGATTCCTACAGTACTGACCCTGTACATATTTGATCTTGATTCCTACAGTACTGACCCTGTACATGTTTAATCTTGATTCCTACAGTACTGACCCTGTACATATTTGATCTTGATTCCTACAGTACTGACCCTGTACATGTTTAATCTTGATTCCTAGAGTACTGACCCTGTACATGTTTAATCTTGATTCCTACAGTACTGACCCTGTACATATTTGATCTTGATTCCTACAGTACTGACCCTGTACATATTTGATCTTGATTCCTACAGTACTGACCCTGTACATGTTTAATCTTGATTCCTATAGTACTGACCCTGTACATGTTTAATCTTGATTCCTATAGTACTGACCCTGTACATGTTTAATCTTGATTCCTAGAGTACTGACCCTGTACATATTTGATCTCGATTCCTACAGTTCTGACCCTGTACATATTTGATCTCGATTCCTACAGTACTGACCCTGTACATGTTTAATCTCGATTCCTACAGTACTGACCCTGTACATATTTGATCTCGATTCCTACAGTACTGACCCTATACATGTTTAATCTTGATTCCTACAGTACTGACCCTGTACATATTTGATCTCGATTCCTACAGTACTGACCCTGTACATATTTGATCTCGATTCCTACAGTACTGACCCTGTACATGTTTAATCTTGATTCCTATAGTACTGACCCTGTACATGTTTAATCTTGATTCCTACAGTACTGACCCTGTACATGTTTGATCTCCATTCCTACAGTACTGACCCTGTACATATTTGATCTCCATTTCTACAGTACTGACCCTGTACATATTTGATCTCGATTCCTACAGTACTGACCCTGTACATATTTGATCTTGATTCATACAGTACTGACCCTGTACATGTTTGATCTTGATTCCTACAGTACTGACCCTGTATATGTTTAATTTTGATTCCTAGAGTACTGACCCTGTACATATTTGATCTCGATTCCTACAGTACTGACCCTGTACATATTTGATCTCGATTCCTACAGTACTGACCCTGTACATGTTTAATCTTGATTCCTAGAGTACTGACCCTGTACATATTTGATCTCGATTCCTACAGTTCTGACCCTGTACATATTTGATCTTGATTCCTACAGTACTGACCCTGTACATGTTTGATCTTGATTCCTACAGTTCTGACCCTGTACATATTTGATCTTGATTCCTACAGTACTGACCCTGTACATGTTTGATCTCGATTCCTACAGTACTGACCCTGTACATATTTGATCTCGATTCCTACAGTACTGACCCTGTACATATTTGATCTTGATTCCTACAGTACTGACCCTGTACATGTTTAATCTTGATTCCTAGAGTACTGACCCTGTACATATTTGATCTCGATTCCTACAGTACTGACCCTGTACATATTTGATCTTGATTCCTACAGTACTGACCTTGTACATGTTTAATCTTGATTCCTTTAGTACTGACCCTGTTTATGTTTAATCTTGATACTTATAGTACTGACCCTGTACATGTTTGATCTTGATTCCTCTGTGACTGTTCCTTTTCTGGACCCACAGGGTGTTTGGGTGCTCCTCTGCCTGTAAATAAGCTTTCATGATAATAATAAGGGCAACAATGAAATAACAAAACTGACAGTCTCTTCATAGGAAACAATTAAAAACGAGAGGCCTGTTGGCCACAACGCTCACCTGAGTAAACTTAGTAAATGTACTTCTGTTCTTCAAAAGATTTTTTAAAAGATTGTTATATTTCCATAAAAATTGAGACCCATATTATGGCTCCACCCTAACTCTAAGGGGTCTCTTAATCCACACATTAGGGGGATGCTTCAATATGACTAACATGGCCTTGCAGTTTTGGAGAAGAAAATTCTTTTCTTGTTTACAGAAGATAGGTCAATACTTTTTTCCTCAGAACTGTTTGGGGTCACCCTATTTCCAATCAACCTTTCTAAGGTTCAAGTTGTAAAAAATGCCCCCAAAAGTATATATTAAAAAAGTCATCAATTTTAATGCAAAATTGTGCCCTCTTATATCTTTTTAGATTATTTAACTGTAAAAAAAAGAAAAAGAAAAAGAAAGAGTTAAAGAATTTTCCATTAAATAAAATGCCATTAATTATTCATGCATGTACAAAACACAATTTATTTAATCGCCTTGTAAATATATCCTGTCAATGTACTTAACAACATGCTTTTAGTGTATCCTATATATGAAATGAGTATAAATGCAGGTGACAAAAATATAATTTTAAGTGATATTTAGAAAACCTTTTTAAAACAAGAGGCCCATGGGCCACAACGCTCACCTGAGTCAATATGGCCCTGCTGTTCTTTGTCAGCAGATTTCTTCTTCTATATATTCATACGGAAAGCTTTGATCAACTGTTCTAGGCATAACCTATCCCCATTTGCCATGTTTTGAATGAAATTAAATCTAAACTTTCTGAGGATGCTTCTATATTCATATAACTAATCATGGTTTTGCTGTTCTTGAAACGGAATTTTAAAGATGTCTGCCATCCTACCCTGGGGGGAAGGAAGGGAGGGGGGGTTCAAGATTTGAACAAACTTGAATATACACTACCTAAGGATGCTTCCATATCAATATGACTAATTATGGCTTTGTTGTTCTTGAGAAGAAGATTTTTTAAGATATTTCTTATATATATTCTTTTGTTAAACTTTGATCCCAGATTATGGCCCCACCCTACTACTGGAGGATGCCTTGAACAAACTTGAATCTACAATACTTGGGGATGCTTCAATATCAAAATGACTAATCACGGCTTTCCTGTTCTTGAAATATTTTAAAAGATTTTTCCTATTTATTCCTATGTAAAACTTTGATCCCCTATTGTGGACCCACCCTACCCCCGGGGGTCTTGATTTCGACAAATTTGAATCTACACTACCTAAGGATGATTCCATATCAATATGACTAATTGTGGCTTTGTTGTTCTTGAGAAGAAAATTTTTAAAGAATTTTCCTATATATTCCTATGTAAAACTTTGATCCCCTATTGTGGCCCCACCCTACCCCCGGGGGTCATGATTTGAACAAACTTGAATCTACATTACCTGAGGATGATTTCATATCAAAATGACTAATTGTGGCTTTGTTGTTCTTGAGAAAAAGATTTTTAAAGAATTTTCCTATATATTCCTATGTAAAACTTTGATCCCCTATTGTGGCCCCACCCTACCCCCGGGGGTCATGATTTGAACAAACTTGAATCTACATTACCTGAGGATGATTCCATATCAAAATGACTAATTGTGGCTTTGTTGTTCTTGAGAAAAAGATTTTTAAAGAATTTTCCTATATATTCCTATGTAAAACTTTGATCCCCTATTGTGGCCCCACCCTACCCCCGGGGGTCATGATTTGAACAAACTTAAATCTACACTACCTGAGGATGATTTCATATCAATATGACAAATCATGGCTTTGCTGTTCTTGAGAAGAAGATTTTTAAAGAATTTTCCTATGTATTCCTATGTAAAACTTTGATCCCCCATTGTGGCCCCACCCTACCCCCGGGGGTCATGATTTGAACAAACTTAAATCTACACTACCTGAGGATGATTTCATATCAATATGACAAATCATGGCTTTGCTGTTCTTGAGAAGAAGATTTTTAAAGAATTTTCCTATATATTCCTATGTAAAACTTTGATCCCCCATTGTGGCCCCACCCTACCCCCGGGGGTCATGATTTGAACAAACTTGAATCTACATTACCTGAGGATGATTTCATATCAATATGACTAATTGTGGCTTTGTTGTTCTTGAGAAGAAGATTTTTAAAGAATTTTCCTATATATTCCTATGTAAAACTTTGATCCCCCATTGTGGCCCCACCCTACCCCCGGGGGTCATGATTTGAACAAATTTAAATCTACACTACCTGAGGATGATTTCATATCAATATGACTAATTGTGGCTTTGTTGTTCTTGAGAAGAAGATTTTTAAAGAATTTTCCTGTATATTCCTATGTAAAACTTTGATCCCCCATTGTGGCCCCACCCGACCCCCGGGGGTCATGATTTGAACAAACTTGAATCTACACTATGTAATGAAGGTTTCCCATAAGTTTCAACTTCTCTGGCCCAATGGTTCTTGAGAAGAAGATTTTTAAAAAAAGACACCAAATTTTCACTTATTCTTAATTATCTCCCCTTGGAAGAGGGCATGGCCCTTCATTTGAACAAACTTGAACCCCCTTCTTCCAAGGATGCTTTGTGGCAAGTTTGGTTGAAAATGGCCCAGTGGTTCTGGAGAAGAAGTCGAAAATGTGAAAAGTTTACAGACGGACGGACAGACGGACAGACGGACAGACGGACTACGGACAAAATGTGATCAGAAAAGCTCACTTGAGCTTTCAGCTCAGGTGAGCTAAAAATGAAAACAAGCTTATTCAGGTAATTTGTGTCGCAAGATTCAGGAAAAAGAGAAAAGGGTGGAAAATCTGAAAGAAATGTAGATAAAGAAACAAGAGGCCCATGGGCCACATCGCTCACCTGAGCACATTGGCTAGGCAAAAGCACAAAAGCACAAATCAGTTCAGTATTGAAAAGGTTACGGGGGGGGGGGGGGGGGGGGGGGGGGGGAGGGGGGGGATACCTGATGATGCTTCCATGTCAATATAACAAATGGCTTTGTTGTACTTGAGTAAATTTTGAAAAATTTTTCCCATATAATCCTTTGTAAAAATTTGATCCCCCATTGTGGCTCCTCCCTATCCCAGAGGTCAATATTTGAAAATTTGAATCTACACTACCTGAGGATGCTTCCATTTCAATATGACTAAACATAGCTTTTCTGTTCTTGAGAAGAAATATTTTTTCTGCATGTTCTTATGTAAAACTTTCAATCCCCCATTGGGCCCCACCCTACCCCAGGGGTCATCATTTGAACGAATTTGAATTTACACTATCTGAGGATGCTTCCATATCAAAATGACTAAACATGATTTTCAGTTCTTGAGAAGAGGATATTTTCCTATATGTTCCTATGTAAAATTTTCGACCCCCCATTGTGGCCCATCCCTATCCCCGGGGGGTCATCATTTTAACAAACTTGAATTTACACTACCTGAGGATGCTTCCATATCAAAATGACTAATCATGGCTTTACAGTTCTTCATCAGAAGATATTTACCTATATATTTCTATTTAAGACTTTGATCCTCCATTGTGGCCCCGCCCTACCCCAGGGGGTCATGATTTGAACAATCTTGAATTTACACAACCTGAGGATACTTCCAAATAAATATGATCAATCAGGGCTTTGCTGTTCCTGAGAAGAAGATTTTTAAAATTTTTCCTATATATTTCTATGTAAAACTTTGATCCTCCATTGTGGCCCCGCCCTACACCAAGGGGTCATGATTTGAACAAATTTGAATTTTTACAACCTGAGGATGCTTCCACATAAATATGACCAATCAAGGCTTTGCTGTTCCTGAGAAGAAGATTTTTTAAAGATTTTTCCTATATATTTCTATGTAAAACTTTGATCCTCCATTGTGGCCCCGCCCTACCCTCGGGGGTCATGATTTGAACAAATTTGAATTTTTACTACCTGAGGATGCTTCCATATAAATATGACTAATCATGGCTTTGCTGTTCTTGAGAAGAAGATTTTTTAAAGATTTTTCCTATACATTTCTATGTAAAACTTTGATCCTCCATTGTGGCCCTGCCCTACCCTCAGGGGTCATGATTTGAACAAACTTGAATCTTCACTACTTGAGGATGCTTCCATATAAATATGACTCATCATGGCTTTGCTGTTCTTGAGAAGAAGATTTTTAAAGGTTTTTCCTATATATTTCTATGTAAAACTTTGATCCTCCATTGTGGCCCCGCCCTACCCCCGGGTGTCATGATTTGAACAAACTTGAATCTACACTACCTGAGGATGCTTTCATATAAATATGACCAATTAGGGCTTTGCTGTTCTTGAGAAGAATATTTTTAAAGATTTTTCCTATATATTTCTATGTAAAACTTTGATCCTCCATTGTGGCCCCGCCCTACCCCCGGGGGTCATGATTTGAACAAATTTGAATTTTTACTACCTGAGCATGCTTCTATATAAATATGACTCATCATGGCTTTGCTGTTCTTGAGAAGAAGATTTTTAAAGGTTTTTCCTATATATTTCTATGTAAAACTTTGATCCTCCATTGTGGCCCCACCCTACCCCCGGGGGTCATGATTTGAACAAACTTGAATCTACACTACCTGAGAATTCTTCCACATGAGTTTCATCTTCCCTGGCTCTGTTGTTCTTGACAAGAAGATTTTCAAAAGATGCTATTAATTTTTCACTAATTCTTTATTATCTCCCCTTGAAAGAGGGCATGGCCCTTCATTTGAACAAACCTGAATCCCCTTCACCCAAGGATACTTTGTGGCAAGTTTGGTTGAAATCGGCTCAGTGGTTCTTGAGAAGATTATGAAAATGTGAAAAGTTTACGACAACAACGACGCCGACGACGCCGACAGACAACGGACAAATTTTGATCAGAAAAGCTCACTTGAGCCTTTGGCTCAGGTGAGCTAAAAAGGTTAACTTTGACCTTTCAGCTTTAAGCCATTAAATCAACAGTGGTCTTTTTTTATTTTAAAGAAATTCATGACCTTAAGTTTCATTCAAAAGCTAACAAAGAACTTAATTTTATCATCTGAAAACTATGTATGCAATATATGAATTTCTGACCTTGGTCTTTGACTTTTGACCTTGAAATCCTCAAAATTAAGTGAGTGGTTTTTTCAAAAGTTATATTGACTAATGGTATAAAATGATACTGCAAAACTCAAAGAGAACTAAAGTTATCACCAGAAAACAATTTTAGGCAAGATATAAATTTTTGACCTTGACATTTTGGCCTTAAAATCAATAGGGGTCTTCTTTAAGTCATTGGGACTTCAGATGTAAAATTTAATTGCAAAAGCTTGAAGAAAACTAATCATCTGGAAACCTGATTTTGCAATGTATGAATTTCTAAGCTTGATCTAAGATCTTCTGACCTCAAAATCAAGGGAGTTATGGTGTAAAATTTCATTGCAAAAGCTAAAAAGCTTTTTGAGATATCATCCAGAAATGAAAGTGTTACACATAGACAGGATGCATGATTTCTAAACCTGAGTTTTGACCTTTTGATCTCAAAATCAATAAGGGTCTTTTTTAAGACCTTGAGAGTTAGGATATAAATTTTCATTGAAAAAGTTTGAAGAAAACTAATCATCTGGAAACCATTTTTTCAATGTATGTATTTCTGACCATAACCTTTGACCTCAGAATCAATAGGGGTCTTCTTTTGGCCATAGCGAGTTGTGTCAATGTGATATAAAATTTCATTGCAAAAGCTCAAGGATTTTTGAGATATTGTCTAGAAATGAAAGTGTTCCACACAGACAGAATGACAGATAAATAGATGGATGGATTTCAGACAAAATGTGATCAGAATAGCTCGCATGAGCTTTCAGTTCAGGAGAGCTAAAAATTTACTGATGTTTTAATCATTAGAAACCAAGTAAAGTTGTTTTATTAGATCTGATCCAGTGAACTGCACTCTGACTTACATATAATATATATATATGACCTGATTAACTGCACTCTTACTTACATATTATATATCTGAACTGATTAACTGCACTCTTACTTACATATTATATATCTGAACTGATTAACTGCACTCTTACTTACATGTTATATACTGTATGTGTACTTAAAAGAGCGGGCTTCAAAATTTAGCTGATTTCGCGTGAACAACGATGTGCTAAATATATGAATACCGCTAAGAAATCATTTACTAATACAATACACAGCATGGACATGTGTAGCGCTAATTCATGATTACACCAACAACTCCATACCCCTTGACTGCGCTAAATTTTGAATACGCCAGTTTAAGTGCATGTACAGTATCTGACCTGATTATCTGCACTCTGACTTACATGTAATATATCTGACCTGATTATCTGCTCTCTGACTTACATGTTATATATCTGACCTGATTATCTGCACTCTGACTTACATGTTATATATCTGACCTGATTATCAGCACTCTGACTTACATGTTATATATCTGACCTGATTATCTGCACTCTGACTTACATGTTATATATATCTGACCTGAATTACTTGCTCTCTGGCTTACATACTAAATATCTTACCTGAATTAACTGACTTGCACACTGTATATCTGGCCCCAAGGCCATAAACTAAGAATGAACTTCAGTCAAAATTTTGATATTCAGAATCTTGATTTTTTTTTATTGCACACACGTGTTGAAAAACTTGCACATTTGTTTCATGTTCAAATACAAACACACAATGAAAAATTTGTTCGATTATCAAAATTATTCCAAATTTATATTGATTTGAAATTTTGACTTAAGTCTAGCTGTTCTCAGTTTATCTGTATTCTTTTAACATATTACATATCTGACCTGATTATCTGCATTCTGGCTTACATATTGTATATCTGACCTGATTAACAGTATTCCTATTAACATATTACATATCTGACCTGATTATCTGCATTCTGGCTTACATATTGTATATCTGACCTGATTAACTGTATTCCTATTAACATATTACACATCTGACCTGATAAACTGCATTCCAACTTATACATTGTATATCTGACTTGATTGACTGCACTCTGACTTACATATTGATAAAATTTGTCCTTTTCCTTGGGAATCTTGAAAGCCCTGGGTATGTAAGGATTGTTGGAGACTGCCAGACTGACCTTGTTGGTTATGTAACCTGACCCAGGGAAATGGTTTACCTATACTCAGGTGATAAAAAAATTGAAAATGTCAAATAATGTCATAAAAGGCAATTTTAAATATTATTTCTCAGATAATCATAATAAATCTACATGTTAATATACTGTAAGTCGTTTTAATTCCACGGTGTTAAAATTTCACGATTTCTCAAAAAGTACCAATCACGATGGTTTTCATTTCACGCTGCAAGAAATAAATTTAAATTTCCTAAAAGCAATTAAACGTTTTTAAAAACTAATGATAGCAATCACGATGGGTTTAATTTCGCACAAACAAGATGAATCACGAACATAGTTAAATTAAAACCATCATGATTATTTGTCAATCTACAGTATATGCTTAAACAAATAAACTGATTGAACTTCATCTAGATATCAGTCATCAAACTATTAGCAATGTAACTTGTTAAACACACAAAATTACTGCATGTACCCTTAACATGGCTGAGATTTTATGAGCAAAACTTCCTCTTCTATTGACCTTCTGGAGAAAATGTTAAAGCAGAATCTTTTCGGATTGTTTTCTAAGTTTTAAATGTTTTAACACAATACAGACCTTCTGATGAGGCTTGAGATCTGAGATTTTTTTGGCAAGCTGTTCAAATGGATATTCATGTGACCAGAGTACATCCCAATCAGACTCGCCATCACCAACAACATATCCTATCCTCTCAAAAACAGCAAACACATGCTTCAAGTATCCAGACTCCAGCTGAAATACATAAAATACAACAAATCCTATCCTCTCAAATACAGCAAACACATACTTCAAGTATCCAGACTCCAGCTGAAATATATAAAATACATGTACAACATATCCTATCCTCTCAAATATAGCAAACACATACTTCAAGTATCCAGACTCCAGCTGAAATATACAGTGTATAAAATACGACATATCCTATATCCTCTCAAACACAGCAAACACATACTTCAAGTATCCAGACTCCAGCTGAAATATATAAGATACAACATATCCTATCCTCTCAAATTCAGCAAACACATACTTCAAGTATCCAGACTCCAGCTGAAATATTTAAAGCACAACATATCCTATTCTCTCAAATACAGCAAACACATGCTTCAAGTTTCCAGACTCAAGCTGAAATATATAAAGCACAACATATCCTATCCTCTCAAATACAGCAAGGACATATGATGATTCAAATATCCTGATTCCAGCTGAAATATTTAAAGCACAACATATCCTATCCTCTCAAATACAGCAAGCATATAATGCTTCAAATATCCAGATTCCAGCTGAAATATTTAAAGCACAACATATCCTATCCTCTCAAATACAGCAAGCATGTAATGCTGCAAATATCCAGATTCCAGTTGAAATATTTAAAGCACAACATAGCCTATCTTCTCAAATACTGCAAACACCTGCTTCAAATATTGAGAATCCAGCTGAAATATTTAAGCAAAACATAGCCTATTTTCATAATAACTGCAAATACAGGCTTGAAATATCCAGATTCCAGATGAAATAGCAGCATATAAAATGCAACATATCCTATCCTCTCAAATATTGCAAATATTAAGTCTCCAGCTGAAATATATAAAATACAACATATCCTCATCATGCTTCAAATATCCACACTCAGGCTTAAATATATTAAGTACAACATATCCTAATATCTACGCAAGTACTGCAAAACATGCTTTAAATTCAGATTCTATATCTGATTTATTAAAGAGAAGACTTATTTTAAGATTTTAAGATTATTTTTGAGAAACTATTGTTTCAAACTATGAAGTTGAACATTATTCTTGCATGACAATGGAAACCCCTTTGTAACATGTTCTTTGAAATTGCCTCTTTCTTGATCTGAGATCTCCTATGTTCAATGAATCTAGCTCTGTCCAAGAATGTTTTTTTAACCACTTAATACAATAACATCCTAGTTATCACATTGTTTCTTTTTTTGCTTTTCTTTAAACACACCATAATTAAATGAAAATTACTAGGACTTAAATACACACATTTTCTAATTATTTTAAAGCCACTGCCTTTTACTCAGCAAATAAAGTAAATAATATGATCCAATTTTTCTCAATCTTTTGGATTTTAATATTTTTGATTTGAGCTGATTTTGAACTAAACAAGACACCAAGGCAGACAAACACAAAACTCTTCCTCTATGAGACACATGACCTACCTTTTTGCCCTCAATCCACACTACCGGCATCCTGACAGCATATTTTCCGGTCCTTCCCTCCACCTGTGGCATATTGGCCTGTTGTAACACTCCAGTTTCCCTCATTTTATGAAGTTCATAGATATTCAGCAGTGTAAGAACGATCCCTAGTCCCAACACTACAATCACTAGTGAGAAAAGGCGGCCAGGTTTCTTCATCTTAGGTTTGGGTTTTCCAAAAACTGGTAGAGAGCTGTCCTGGAATTCGTGGAAATTAATTAAATGGTAAATAAATAAAAACAAATCTTGATCATATTAAAAAAACTCATCCAACCTTGATTTTGAAAAAAAAGTTATCAATAATAATTTTAATTTGTCTTGGATCAATTTTGAGGTAAAAATGATAAAAATGCAAACCACAATTTTGTAACATAAGAATCTAGTCAGGCACACATACACCGTCTTATCAATATATTCATTACACGTACATGTCATATGCACTTAAAGTAAATTACATCATTTATTAATTAATAATAACACCTTGCATCAAATCAAACAATATAAGTGCATTTTAAAGGCTGAATACTTAATTATGAATATAAAATTAAGTATATCCAAAAAAATATATACATATTTCAGTTAAAGTACATGGTCAATTTACTTTACCAAATTTTTATAAGGTTAAAACTCACACTTTAAGTATTTCTTATATTGTCTCTCTCTCTGCCAGCAGAAGAAAAATCTATAAACTACCTTAAAAACTTGATTAAATGTAAAGAAGTAATTAAAAAAAGGTAACCATTTGTAATTGACAGGAAATAGATAAAACAAGGCCTGAAAAACAATTACCTCCCTACTAAGAATATTCTCTAACACAAATGTCCATCTTGTTAACACTCATTTCAATTCACGCTTCTTCAAAAGACAGCCCTGTCTGCATGACATCAGGTAATATACAATAATGTTAAACACTTTACAAGTGCTACTTAGGTTATGTTACCTTTCCTAAGCTTGTAAAAAATAATGTTATGAAAACAATGTATAATGTTAACTAAGTATATGGTGGTGGGGGGGGGGGGGGGCTCTTTCATTCATCACATAAATATTTCCATTAACCCCTGATTTTCTAGAACAAATTTTTATTTTCTTTAAGCAAACTAATACTTTCTCATGTTCATCTCTTTGTCAAAATTATAAATTGTATAAATTAAAATCAGATCTTTGATCCATTAACCAGTGTTTTCACTAAGAACTGGCTACCGGCCAAATTGACAGCTTCAATTGATAGAGATGCCGCTTAGAAGTCAAAAATTTAAAAAATAATTGATGTAAGGTCCACAGTGATTTTGTTCATAAACATCAACACTTAGCCTGTTACAATTGATCTCTAACCCTTTACTTTGAAATAAAGGGAAAACATACTCAATAGTCATCAGAATGTGAAAAGATCAATGAAACAATTCCATTAGCATGTGGAATTGCACAAAATCAGTAGGCATGGCTAATATTAGATTCACTGATTAGGAGAGAGACAAAAGGTCAGAATGGTAGAAGGTAATTATAAATATTTACAATGAAAATAAAATATTATTAAAATATAATTTAAATTTTTAAATTATAAATATTTAAAACTTAAATTCAGTGTATAGTTTATGGTGTTTATGGATAATCAACATGGTGAAATGATAATTCTGCATACCATGTGATGCCAGGTACATACAGAATATCACAGGGGCGTAGCTTCCATTGTGGCAATGAGGCAACTGCCTCACTAGATTTTTCACCACCACCACCCCTTTCCATAATCAACAATACACTGCAGATAATACGTACAACTAATGGCATTTCTTTTAACATTTTTAGCAGTTCTATAATGTTGAATTGAAGTTTTAAAGAAATAAAAGAGTTTAATAAGATGCGCTTTCACCTTTAAATGTTTCAAAAAGTTTAGTAAACATATAAACTCTTTTACATTCTTTTACAATATGTAGTATCATGCTGAAGTCTTAAATAAAGAAACCAGTATAGCAAATGAAATTTCATTGCATTTTAAAACCCCCAACTCCATTTTCTGTCGGAGTGACCCCTCGAATGACACTACCCGGAACCTGCTGGGGGCTTAAGGCAGCCCAGACTTCTTGCTGCTACTGTACATGTATGGTTTTGCCTCACTAGAATTTAAAGTCAAGCTACGCCCCTGTATCACCTTTTTATATTAACACAAAAACAGACATTTATTTTGTTAGTATATCTATGTAAAATTCTGAACAAAAACCAAAGCACTAGAGGCCATAGATGAAGCAAACTTCAACACAATTAAACCCCTTAAGAAGTTGCCTTATTCATTAACTTTCTATCAGTAAGTGATAGCTCTTACCTGTATCTTATTACCTAAGATCTGTACTAGTTCTTACATGTAATTTGTTACCTGAGGTGTATACAGCTAGTTCTTACCTGTAATTTGTTACCTGATGTGTATACAGCTAGTTCTTATCTGTAATTTGTTACCTGAGGTCTATACAGCTAGTTCTTACCTGTAACTTGTTACCTGAGGTGTATACAGCTAGTTCTTACCTGTAACTTGTTACCTGAGGTGTATACAGCTAGTTCTTATCTGTAACTTGTTACCTGAGGTCTATACAGCTAGTTCTTATCTCTAACTTGTTACCTGAGGTCTACACAGTGAGATCTTACCTGGAACTTGTGGTACGATGAGCTCAAGTTCATTTTTCTCTATGTTGTATATTATTGGTGTAGATTTCTAGTGTTGGGTCCAGCATGGACAGCTGATGAACAGCCAACATTGGTTTTTTTTTTTTTACCAGTCTACATCATTACCTGTCAATAATCAATTAATGAAGCAATTCCTCCAACAGCAAAGTTTAATTATGTCAGTCCAGTACAGCATCTCAGATCAATAAAACTTAAATTCAATCAATCACCAAGTAGATCTATATTGACTACATATTAATTTTTTTTGTATGCAAGCTTGAATTTAAATAATCTAAATTATCACCTGAACATGCTGAAATGACAGATTCACTTCTAATCTAAAGTTTGCATTGAAATTACAAATGTTCTAAAATTCCAACCATTGTAAATTGATATACGTATAAAACTATCTTTATAATAAAAAAAATTTATTCTGTAATGACTTCATTCTAGATGAGTGTAGTCCAGTGGGTTAGCTTAATTGCTTAATGAAATTCATATACATTTCAAAGTTTTAACAGAATTAAGTAAATATAATTATACACATGGTACATTATGTGTGACTGCTTCCTTAAACTTGGGATTACAATGAAAATCTAACCAGGAAAGTAAACAACTGATCTTAATCACTGTATAACCGTATAAATGGACTTTTCCTTTAAAATACATATGTGGATTTAAATTCTTCATCTATCATTTCATTTAAAACTGCTAGAGGGTGCAAAAAAGAAAATATTTTTTCTTAGAAGTTGTGTTTTCAGTTTCAAAAATAAGGGCTAACCTTGACAATTTGCAAACTTTTTGTACAGTCACTGTGTACTATGTACTTATGTATAAGGGCCTTTACAAGTCCACCAATGATAAAATCCTGTTCTTTAGAAACCTTGTATTCTGTCTGATCACATTAAATCTAGAGATATTTAATGATTATCAAAACTAAGATTTTAGTCTGATTATAAGAACAAATAAAGATACAATGACAAAGAGAATATACGATTAATTACCTGTGATTTTGATCTAAGTCCTTGTCCTTATATTAAGGTTATGTGTCATCTCATACTGCTCGATTATTGAACGGCTTGTTGGATAATTGTACAACTCATCTGAATCCTGTTCTGATAAAAATAAATCAGCTTTATATCCTCAAACGGAAAAAAACAATGTCAACATTGGTTTATAAGCTGTTTTCATATTCAGGTATGCTATATTTCTATTAACACTTTTACTCAATACAACGGAACTGTGTGACTTTTGATAACTTAATGATGCATGTCTTTAGGTAGAATACATGTTCTAATTTAATACCTTTCCTCTCCCTATTTTGCCTCTCACCGCTCGAAATGATATTCTTTTATGAAAATAATATATTCATGACTTAAAATATATTTTTTTTCAAAAACATTGTAATTCAAATTTCAAAGGATTTCACTGAATACAGATATGTTTGATACTGGCACAATAACTTTACACAGAAATCATTTAATTCATTTTGTAAAGTATTGTATAAATTCAACTATATAACAAAATTCCTAAATTCTGATAATAATTCTGTTTAGTAGAAGCTGATCATTCTTCCATGTTTTTAGGTCATGGTAAAGTTCTGGGTCAAGTAGAATCTGTCACTCAGATTTCACCACAAGGTCGTTGTTATGAGGCATTCATTAATGTGTCCGACAGATACACATGTAAACATGGCTTCATTAAACTATCACCTCTATCAATCATGTGTAAGAATGATATATAAATTCATTCTTCCAATGTGAGGAAAATGTCGCTAATTTTTCCCAATTCAAAAGGAGGGGGTGGTGGTTTAAAAAACAAACAAAAAAATCACTGCTAACCTTGGTGAACTCGGCGAGAGAGAGAGGATTGGTTAGTAGATTTCTTTGTCATTGTCAAAGTTTTGAATAAACATAGGAAGATCGTAATAGTTTGTAGCCTGAAACTTAAACGAACCTTGACTGATTGTACTCTTTTCCTGGAAGAACATTATGATACTCTATTAATCTGTATGGAAGTCAAATTGAAGATACGTGATATATATTAACATGATCCTGTCAATGTCCTCAAACCATAACCATGCTGAAAAATGATTGTAGTGTCACTGTAAGAATAGTTTGCCATGTCCAGTTTTTACTGTGAAGTTATCTAACTTCTAAGACGGCATATAGTCTTTAATGATCATGGCTAAAATCATGAATGTGTGACGGGGGCTAATGTCCTATGCTCCTTATATGCCTCTGTTACAAGGTGCCAACTCAAAAGTATCTCACCATGAACATCTAGTAAGATTTGAACAATATGTTGATGATTTTTCTGATCCCAACATTAATGTAAGAAAATGTGGAAAGGCCATAATGAATCAAAATGATTTGAAAAATATAGTGAACTGATTCCCGAAATAACATTAATATATACATGTACTATTCAGGTACAGATCCAAGAATTTCTGTTAAGGGAAAGAGCGTGAAAAATTTGTCAGGGAGCCACCTTAAGGCCCCCAGTATGTATAGAGCAAAGCCCTGGTATGTGTCCAAGGGCAAAACCCCCAGAAGCTCCTGAATTCTAGAGATTTTAAGAGTAAAATGCAACGTCAATATAATAAGCTCCATTAGATACACTCAATCACAGAGGGTTTGATTTAGCATCAATTATCAAATTATTGAAGACTTTCAGCATCAGATTTCATGCCTTTTTTCACGTTTTTCTCGTGACAGTCCTTTATTTGCTCATGAATGAGTTGTTATTGGAGCCCCTCTATTCATATCTCTTGGATCTGAGCAAAATTTAATCCCCCCTCCCCCTTCATCATATCTGAAAATGCTTCTCCTCTTCTTTTTGTGAAAATCTTGAGATTTCCATATTTTTTGTTTTTAAAATGCGAAACTGTTGTAAAAAAAAGTTCATATTATAACATATTGTATTATTATTTTAGTCAGACATTTAAAATTTATTTTTATCTTACTGGTAATTACATGTATTGTATCTTATAAACAGAGAAAACTTACTAAACTGCTGTTTGATATAAACTTACTGCAGAACTTTAGTTCTCTGGGGAAAAAAATTGGTTGTCAGACTGTACTGTAGTTCAGAAGCAAGTTTTTTAAATACATGTGTTAAGGTACTAGACTAACACATGCATTTAAAAAACTTGCTTCTGGACACAAAACAATTGCACTAATTTTGGATTATTTCACCAATTTTTCTGAAACAGCCTATCAAAGTATTTTCAGTCTATGCGAAAGACATTGGACCGTCAGACATGACCGATGTGCAGTGCCTCTGGTCCGATGCATCATTTTTTACACCGGACCGAAATGTCCAATGTCTCAGTGTCCAGTTTTGAGCTTTATTATTTTGACGTGGAGTCATTTATATGTTTGTTATAAGTAAAAAATATCGCACAAATTTAAATACATAAATGAATGCGATTGAAACCACATGGAGACCGTATACAGTATAATGATTTCCTTGGTTCTGCATTTTCATGTGCTTCATTTTTTTTTTACATTAGATTTTTCGGTCTGACAAAATTTGGTTCAGTCTTGTGTGTTCATTGATTACACAGGACCGAATGTCCTGTGTGGTCCAAAAACTTTCGCATTGACTGTACTTTAGACAAAAATATCTTGACATTTCACTACAGATATTGTAACTTAACCAGCCTAAATAATGTCAAACAACTATGTTTTATAATGTGTAATGGTTTGGGCTGTGGATGTCGGTCTAGGTAGCTCAGTGGTTAGAGCACCTGACTAGTGATGCAGGGGTCCTGGGTTCGATTCTTAGTCCAGCCATACATATTCTCCTTTCCTGTTGTATAATTTGGTGCTTTTGCCACCTCTGGACTTGCAGGTGAAAAGAATTTGGGTTGTCTTCAAGGGTGAAGACAATTCAAAGGAGGGAGGAATGTTATGGTCTACTTTAATGGTTTGGGGCACCAAATGTAACAGGAAAAGAGAAAAATGTTACAGACTAGACCAGAATTCAGCCTCCTGAATTGCTAGTCAGGTTCTCTATAACTATATAATGTTATTTCGGGAATCAGTTCACTATATTTTTCAAATCATTTTGATTCATTATGGCCTTTCCACATTTTCTTACATTAATGTTGGGATCAGAAAAATCATCAACATATTGTTCAAATCTTACTAGATGTTCATGGTGAGATACTTTTGAGTTGGCACCTTGTAACAGAGGCATATAAGGAGCATAGGACATTAGCCCCCGTCACACATTCATGATTTTAGCCATGATCATTAAAGACTATATGCCGTCTTAGAAGTTAGATAACTTCACAGTAAAAACTGGACATGGCAAACTATTCTTACAGTGACACTACAATCATTTTTCAGCATGGTTATGGTTTGAGGACATTGACAGGATCATGTTAATATATATCACGTATCTTCAATTTGACTTCCATACAGATTAATAGAGTATCATAATGTTCTTCCAGGAAAAGAGTACAATCAGTCAAGGTTCGTTTAAGTTTCAGGCTACAAACTATTACGATCTTCCTATGTTTATTCAAAACTTTGACAATGACAAAGAAATCTACTAACCAATCCTCTCTCTCTCGCCGAGTTCACCAAGGTTAGCAGTGATTTTTTTGTTTGTTTTTTAAACCACCACCCCCTCCTTTTGAATTGGGAAAAATTAGCGACATTTTCCTCACATTGGGAAAAATCATTTATAGTAAATTAGAATGATAAAAAATGCATAAAATAATCAAACTTAGTAACAACAATAGATTTTGCTTGATTTTTAACTTTGAATTTGAGTTGAATTCATAAAGTAATCATTTAAAAAAAATTAACATCAATATTTTATTGAATGTGAACATGGCTTATATTAGTCACATCTTGTATCTTCTATTTCCTTGGAATTGCTTGGTCTAATTTCATAAAAAAAAAACAACAACTCACATTTAGACTCATAATCTAGTAAACTGCCTTATATTGATAATCAAGTTTACATGCAGTCTTTATTGTTTGTTTTTTCCTGATTTAATGAAACCCTATGTGTTGTCTATTTCCTGTTATTAGCCTAACCCTCTATGTAAAAATGGCAGTCAAACCAAAATCATTATGTCAACATGCAACATGACTTGTATCTGGGAACTGTTTACCAATTCATTGAGAACATTATAAGCTACTAATCTGCTTATATGGATATCTGCATTGTTTTACACATTCATTAAAAAATCGGCTGCATATGCATGGATTCGAAGAATAAAAATGTATATACTCTGTCAGCAAATTTAGCGACTTTTGTTCAAAATCAAAACCTAATTTTCCTATGTTTCAAATTGGGAAAAATATACTAATAATTGGGAAAAAAAGCTAATTTTTGTGAGGGGAAACAGCCGAATATTGGTGGCATTTTGACCCCAAAAAAATCACTGGTTAGACATACCACTCAAAATGTCTCACCGAGATCAATCATCATCGGCTCAAGCAGAGTCAAGTGAACTGAATCTCAATGAAAATTAAGGGGATGAATATGTAATAGATAGCATTCAGGTATTCTTCAATTCCTCTGTCTGAAGATGAAGAAGACTTGAATACTACCTACTACCTCTTCAGCAGCATTGATGCTCCTTAAAAAAAGAGTAGGGTTGCTCATTAGTAAGAAACAAAAAATGACATGACAGATTGATGAAATCTTGCCATTTCCTTATTTAAAAGGATTAAGGGATTGTAATGACACTGCGAAATAGACTTCTTTTATGGAGCTTCAATGAATTTCAGCTAATTTTACCACAGAGATGTTGCTACAAGAAATCAAGGTTCAGCAACAAATAAAGTACATACTGTAGAACTATGACTATTATCAGTCTTGTCAATGTCAGGACCACTTAGGTTTGTTTTGATTTGCATCAAAACAGCCATGAAACTTGTTGGATTTTACCAGCTTCTGCTGGTCAGTCAGGGTATGCGTACAATTCATCAAGTTCCTACAGGGTCATTTCTACATTTTCGTGAAGCCAAATCGGGATAGCGTGACTGGGGCTTTAACCAAGGCTCTTACTTGTATGAGTAGTACAAACCTGTATCAAGCAAAATGTCATATGTGATATACATTAAGGTTAAAATTACTTCGTCAGAGCATGTGATCTAACCTTGTCTACTAAATCCATATCAGAGTTTTCGACAAATGACCTGCGACCACTAAAGGAATGCATACCTTACTTTACAAGTTGTAATACCAGGTCCAGTACAATCTTTTGATTTAGCTATATAGCTTTATTAAGCGATTCAGAGTAGCTTAATTTAGCTATTTTATCACACTTTTTTCTTAAGTGTGTAATTTTCTCAGTATGTACAAAGATTCGCACCTTGGTGCAGTGATGATATATTCAACCTTGAACTCCTCTGAAATTGATGCATGTAAAAATCACTCATTAGATTGTGTCTCCTTGAAAGACTTTGTACTCAAAGTTCTAAGAGTTCTGGGGGCTATATAATGCAATTGATACAGTTATTTCTTCAATGAAATTATAAAGGAGGCCAATTATGGTCAACAGGATAATTGATTGGTAATAATTCAGTACAATGAGAAGCAATCATACATATCCAGGCCTCAAGGCACACAAGGTAGTGGACAGTTACTCAAACAATAGAAATTTATCTTTTGCTTAAAAAGTATTCAAAAGCCGCAAAGTTAGAACAATCTTTTGATTTTGGTTGCTGTTTTGACAGCCCATAGTATATGTATGAATAGTTAAATACATGCGACTTTTTGTCTATTTCTTACAAAAATCATTTTTGTGAAAAACTGCATATAAATAGCTAAATCAAGCTATTCTGAATAGCTTAATAAAGCTATATAGCAATTTCAAGCTATGTAGCTAAATAAATAGCTATATAGCTCAATAAAGAGATTGTACTGGACCTGAATACAAGTCAATTAAGGATTTTGATTGTCAATAAATTATTCTTATCTGTGTTGATTATGAGAGTTTAATACAAAAGAATAGACATTATTTGTCGCCACTACTTATTTACACTGGTCTTTCCCAATATGAAATTCTAAGATCGAAGCATAACGTTAAACAGATGAAGTTTTATCTGTCTCACTCTGATCATGACATGCATTTTGCATATCATCATGTTTTATCTGGTATATATAGGACTGTCGAATATACCTTACTTACCTGTCCAAAAAAAAGAAAATAAAATGCTAGATCTATTAGGCCTAATTTCTAACTGAAACTGTGGGCCTATCCAACTGAACATCCGTATCTCCCGGTGATCATTTCGCAACCCCTCGGGCGTTCTAATTTTTCTTACTTCACGAAAGAGTTCCATAATATTGAGCCTCTAATATTTCGTAATCATAATGTAACTTTAAGCTTTACTGGAGTGTAAGGAGCCTTTTTGAAGTTAGTTTAAGGTAAAGTTAATATAATTGTGTATTACTAAAATGTTAGAAACATTTTTTTCTAAGAAAGGAAAATTTATTCAGAACGGTGAGAACCACAATGCGTACGGCCATGTGTATGAGTGTCCCGAATTTCCTCTGATGTTATCATTTCTGTATGTATCCATATACTGTCCACCTTCAGAGAGTCTTCATTTAATATATCTGAGATTTCTGTTAAAAATGAATACGGTTCAATTAAAACACGTTTCCATTTTAGTGAAATTTGGGATTTTTTTTTAAATTCAACAGTCAAATTGTTGTTTTCTAATATAGGATACTTTATATAATTTAAACAATATAATATTTATTGTTACAGTGAAAGAAACATAAAAGGATTGAACAACAGGCACTGCCTATATAAATCTTCTCCATAGTTTATATACATGATATATGAAAAAATAAAGGGGTGTAAATAAGGCCCCCAAAAATATGTGTGTCTCCTATTACATGGAGTTTTAAAAATATGGTAGGTAGATGCTTTTTTTTAACGGTAGTGGGGTAGGGTTGGAGATTCAGTGTCTATTAAACATAATGAACAAAAAACAAGAAGTCTGTGAGCCAATGCTCACTAGCAATACCCCTGCTCTGATGTGAATTTATGCTCTCATGAATTCTAGATAGAATGTTCTGTCGTTAAAATGATGAATGTCCTACGGACCCAGTTTAACGATAGAATGTGTTCCGTGTATTGTCTTTGTAGCAAAGAAAATATGGGAGATAACTCCAACTCAGTGCATTTACTACGAAAAATCACGAGAGTTCCGAATGTCAACATGTCAACATGGTGTGTAAATTTGAAATGAGTAAAAAATGTTGGTGAAAAAGTGTTGAATTCTTCCATTATATGGATTAAATTTTTAAATGAAAGGTATTTACAGTCTCAAAAAGGTTTGTTATGATTAATTTGACTGTTATTTTCAATGCAACTTCATTAATTTTCTCCAAAATCGTTTCGGAGTGATTCTGCAATTTTCTGCTACATTACGGGTATATGGGAGGCATTCTAACTGTGGTCAGGGCCTGTCCCGAGACACAGTTAGATTATTCTAACTATCATGAATTCCAACATAAAATATGGCATGTCTAAACAAAGAGTGTGCTAAAATTTCAAGCACCTGCAATGAGTAGTTGCTGAGAAAACTGCAAGGAAAATTTGCTACAGACAGACGCACTGAAAAACAGGAAGTTGACATCAGATTTGTACAAAAATGAATCCCACCATATGGCATGCCTAAACAAAGATGGGCTAAAATTTCAAGCATCAGCAACTAGTATAGTTGCTGAGAAAACTGTGACAAAAATTTGCTACAGACTGCACAGATAAACAGGAAGTTGACATCGGATTTGTACAAAAATGAATCCCACCATATGACATGCCTAGACAAAGTGTGCTTAAATTTTAAGCATCTGCATTGAGTAGTTGCTGAGAAAACTGCAACGAAAATGAAAGACACATGGACACACAGACAGACACACAAGGGTAAAACGGTATACTCCCCTCTCCTTTGGAGGTGGGTATAATAAATCTAGGTTTAGACAAGGTTTAGACAGTCTTCACCTTTCCCTAAAAGCAAATTAGGGGGGTATTTTGAAAATTATGGGGGATTGATACACCTATAATTAACTACTTTAAATTCCCCCTATTTCAAAATGTTAAAAAACAGAAATTCAATCGATATCAATTTAAATTTTGTAATTAAAATTTTATTTAAATGTACCTAGATAAAAATCAATGTGCAGCAAACCATATGGTTGAACATTTAGTTTCATTACCAAAAAAAAAGAAAGAAAAAAAAGAAGTTTCATATTTTTTTATGAAAAATATTTGTTTTCTTAAATGTTTATGCTTAGTAACATTAAATAAAACAAATTAATAATATATTTTCCTCACTTAGGCCTATCCCAGTTATTGATAGGATATAAAAAAATGATTGGATGGCAGTTTTTGTTCATTTACAGATATTAGGCTGACCCATATATCTACTTGCATCCATGATGCATTTATAAACGGTAAGCTAATTGACAATGTCATGGGGTGCGTTCAAGAGCATAGCAGCTACGTAGCCTCTACATAAAGCTACAGTCTTGAATGTTAAGCTAGCTTAGCTGCTATGTAGGGAGAACTAGCATAAATATTTGATGCTAAGAACCTAATCCAAATGGCCACCCTAGTTATAACTATGCAGCACACAAGATTTTAACAAAAAGGGAGTCCGGATTGTTTTCTACATCTTAGCGAATTAAATGAAAATTAACATATATATTTTGCTTGAAATAAACTCTTTTTGTTCCAAAAATAAGTTTTTAACTTCGGTCAGATTGGTCATATAGCTAATTTAACATGCAAATTTATGCTGACATCAGAAATTCTAGGAGTCTTGACCTAGAATTTAAGTTGAAGTAATTTAGATGTGACTCCCTAATTTGTCTTGGCAACTTATCTGCCATCTTTGTTTGCCAAGGGTTTCTGAGGGTTGTAGAGTAGATTTGGGGTTGGAAACCCTAAGGGTTTGGCAAGTGAAGATGCATATATGCTTGTAACCATTACTTTCAGTCAATATGTTCATTCTGTGGATCAGAAATACACTGTAGGAATAAATACTAGGGCTGAGATGATACAACTTTTTCTATATCAATATGCAACACAATATTTGAGCCACGATACAATATGTATTAGGGCTGGGACGATATATCGAGATATCGATTCAATGTGAGGATGATACGCGTATCGATACGTATGAAGAAATATCGACATATCGTAAAGAAAATTCTGACTTGAGTTTTTCTTTGTTTACTTAACATTTTGGGTTAAATATATATAATAAATAGGCTAAATATAAACATGAAATACATAATTAATACCACTTGGGTAAAATGATTTTGTTTTACAACAGATACACAACTTCTTTGAATAAATTATTCTTATTTGTGAAGAAATGTTTCATTCATTTCACTCCAAAAAATATTTTATAACCAATTCAACATATCGTGATACATATCGTATCGTGGCTCAAATATCGTGATACGTATCGATATAGAAAAAGCTGTATCGTCCCAGCCCTAATATGTATCACGATATGTTTAATTGGTTATAAATTCTTTTTTTTGTATTGAAATGAACGAAACATTTCTTCACAAATAAGAATAATTTATTCAAAGAAGTTGTATATCTGTTGTAAAACAAAATCATTTTACACAAGTGGTATTAATTATTATGTATTTCATATTTATATTTAGCATACTTATTTTATATATTTAACCCAAAATATTAAGTAAACAAAGAAAAACTTAAGTCAGAATTTATTTGACGATATCTCCTCATACATATCGATATGCGTATCATCCTCACATTGAATCGATATTACCTCGATATATCGTTCCAGCCCTAATAAATACTATAATACAGTCAAATCTTGTTAAATCAGATGCTGATGTTTGTTTTTTTTTTGGAGCAAATTGTCAGGATTAATGAAGAGCCCTGATTACTGAAATATACTTTTTGTAATTGATAGACATACATGTAAATCATGTAAATGACAATTCTCTTCACCACAAATTTCTTTTGGAAGGTGAAGTGTCCAGTTTATTGGCATCTTTGACTGTACCCGTTTTACATAATAGTTCATGACATGTTTTAACTGCATGGTTAACTCTTATTGTTATTTATTTCAGACCAAGTGCAGGACAGATTTTGAGAGACTTTTCAGAATTAGAATGTCAGGTTCCAGGGATTGTGACATCAGTCAGATAGTGGACAACATTTACATAGGCGGAGAGAAGGCAGTACACAGAACTGATCAACTAAAGCAGAATAACGTCACACACATCCTCACTATTAACAATGTCCCCCTACATAGAAGCTACACAGAGACTTACAAATATATGTTTGTCTATGGCCTTGACCTAGAATTCACTGACCTTCTTGGCCATTTTGAGGAATGTTTTGATTTTATAAATGATGCTCTAGATAACGGAGGAGGTGTTCTTGTCCATTGCATGATGGGATGTTCCAGAAGTGCCACCATTGTGATTGCTTATCTAATGAATAAGAAAAAACTGACTTACAGTGAAGCATTAGAACTTGTTAAGAGTATGAGACCAATGGTATCCCCCAATGAAGGGTTTGTATCTCAACTTCTCCTGTTTGAGGAAATGGACTGTACAATAGATAAAACCCATGAGAAGTTCAGACAATACCGACTAAAGAAACTGGCCACCAACCTTCAGGGAACTACTGCTGAAGAGCGATCCAAACTGCAATCCAGTTATTTTGACACAAGTGAGGAGATCAAGAAAGACGAAGTAGTGTTCAAATGTCGTAAGTGTAGACATGCATTGTTTAAGCAGTCTGGGATTATGAAGCACACAGTGGGAGATGGAGAAGTGGCTTTTGACTGGAGAGGAAAAGTGTCTTCTGAGAAAGTGGAAAAATCCCCTGATGAGGTGGAGAGAGTATGTGCTTTATCCTACTTCATAGAGCCTGTGAGATGGATGGCTGGGTCTATCCAGGATTTGGAAGGGAAGCTAGCCTGTCCCAAGTGCAGCTGTAAAATTGGCTCCTATATCTGGTATGGGGAGAGGTGTCCATGTGGTGCCTGGGTGGCCCCAGCCTTCCACATACAGACTGCCAAAGTGGATATATGTAAACCAAGAATTGTTCCTAACAGATAATTACAGTCTGGTATTGGTATCCATAATGTAATAAATTATTTTCACATATTGTATGGCTGTATATCATTAGTGAGGTATGAGATTCTTTTGTTCCCAAGACTAATGGAGTTGCAGTAATAATCTAATTATATTGAATTGGAATTTCCAACTGAAAATTCATGTAGTGATTATTACATTTTGCATGTATTATTACATTTTAGGCAAGATACATGCAAATACAACACTGCTTGATTCAATGGTATTTTCAAAGTGTCAGATAACATCATGATCAAGGTTTATTTATTGATGTTGAACAGTACATTTCCTGATATTTCAAGTATCTTAGTCATTTTTGATGCAACAAAATTACACCATTTTTGAATTCTCTGTTAAAAACAGAAATCAATGTAATGTATGTTCAAGCCGAATGTATATGAAACAAGTTTTCAAAATTATAGAGAGCTTTTGATCACACTTTAAATTCCAAAATAAATAGTAATTTATCCATCCATACAGAGAGGTATAGCGCACTTAGTATACCAAATGGCCGGGTGTTGCTAAAACGCGGAACGGAAAACGGAACGGAAAACGGAAAGTATGATTCCAGGTTAAATCCCTTAAAAAATAAAAGTAATACCAGAAACACTATATATCATATATTTTTTTTTCATATTTAATCCTTAATTATTAAAATACGAGTTGATTTAGTCATGTTCATTCTCTTATTTATGAAGATGTCTGAACAAAGACAAAGCACAGGGTACAGAAAACGGAACAGAAAATATCTAATGCCGTACATATAAACATGTAACATGTTTTGAGCGAAAATGCGCGAATTTATCGGTATACCGGTATATCGTGATTTTTTATTGCGTGATACGTATCGTGATACGGAGACTAAAATATCGGTATTTGGTACAAAATTAAATTTCCAGACATTATTCATTTATTTTTTCGAACTATTAAATAAAAATTACAGGAATTTTAAAAACTGTTGAAAAGTTAAACTAAGACATCCAAACATGCTTTTTATTACATAAATAAAAATGAAAAACGTGAAGTTATGTTTTTACAGCGTATTTGTAAGAAAAATTATAGAAATTCATTAGAAATTGTAGTAAAAAATCCGTGTAAAAATATCACAATATCATCGTGATATTTTGGAGAAAAAATCGTAATATATCACGATACGAAATTTTTGGCGATACCCATCCCGAATAATTTTCAATGCATATGTACCCATGCACCTTAGGTGTGGATAACGTACATCTCTGTACCCCCCCCCCCTTACTAAAATATAAATAACAACTCTATATTTTCTCGAAAATATGTCATTTCCCCATCAATGTCATCCTGACGTTATTCTGTGGAATAAGTTTGTGCTGTTTTGCATAGTTTGGACATATACATGTATGCTGTCTTTCGTAAATCCCCGTTTCAAGTCCCTATGGATTGCATCAACACTCCCGTACTTGTAATAACCTGTTTTTAAAATTGTTTCCTGAATGCCAGTGATCGTTGTCTCTAACACAAATGTATACATACTCTGTCTTTCTCCTCCGCCTGTTTCAAAACAACATTGCCCCTTTTATAATCAGTAATGATGGTTTTGTCTTCGACGAATAAGCCATTTTTTAAATTCAGATTTGGATGAGTGATAAGTACAGGCACGGATGCAGGAATTTTTTCTAGGGGGGTTGGGGGGGGGGGGGCGGTTCCACCCCAGGCAAAAAAGAATTCAACCTAGAAAATTCTTGACAAGCAACCCCCCCCCCCCCGTAAAGTCCTTTCCCAAACGTGAAAAACCTATCTCGGGGGGGGGGGGGGTAGTCGTTGAGTTCTAAAGCTCAACACTTATGACTTTTCGTACCAACATTATACAGATCCGCGTTTTCGAAGGGGGGGGGTCCAAGTTCACTTTTAGTTGGTTTAGTATATACATTTAATAACTCTGAAAATTTAAGGGGGGGGGGCGCACCCCCGCCCCCCCCCCCCCTAGATCCGCGCATGAAGTGAGACATTCTGATAGATAATGGGATATGAGTCTAATTAATGTGTATTTTATTGACCATTACATGTATATATGCCACATGTTTTCAGGGAAAAAAATCATGAATAAATCACATTGTTACGATAACTTTTAATTAGATATGATTTACATGTATTAGATAAAGAATATTGCTTCCTAAGTCTGAATTATACCTGTGCTTAGTGAAAACTTGACATCAAATTTTCCGTTCCGTTCCGCTTTCCGTTCCGTTTTCCGTTCCGCGTTTTAATATTTTTCCCATGACCTACATCTTAATTTGGTATTATTGTAATCATTGATAGCAACCATATGAAAAATTATAAAAAAAAATTATAAAAAGAAATAATTTTCCTAAAGGGTTTTTATTAGGCAATTGTGCTATGTTTTTCAATCCCTTTACTCACATATTTGATTTTTATTGATTATTAGATTTAAAAAAAAAAACACAAAACAAAACAAAAAAAACCCATCAAAGTTAAATTAACTGGAACTGCCTATTAGCCCATCTGAGCTGAAACTCAAGTGAGCTTTCCTAATAATTTTTTTTTTGTCTGGTGCCTGTCTATCCATCCCTCTATATCACGTTTTCATCTTTTTTTCCAGAACTACATATTTAAGCAAACTAGCAACGAAGTATCCTTTAAAAGGGGATTCACTTTTGATCAAATGAAGATCCAAGGGGAGATAATTAAAAATAGTGAAAATTTTGGTGGGGTCATTTAAAAAATCACAAGAACAGATCAATTAAAATACAGTGAAAGCTTTCTGACATAGTGTAGATTCAAGTTTGTTCAAATCATGATCCCTGGGGCTATGGATAGGACTACAATTTATCAAGGATCAAAGTTTTATATGGGAATTTTTGGGGGGAAAAAAATTCCTAATCTTTTCTTAAGGTCAAGATCTAGTAAATAAAAGATGGCTACAAATTTCTCAAATTTGAGAAATAAATTCCTTTAATAATGCTTTTTAACTTTAGCTTGGTCAAATAAGGTGTTTCGGGGCATAATTTGTAGTTAATCAAGACGAAAAATCATATTTTAAACTGTTATTTTCAATAACAATTAAGAAAACCAGTCATGAATACAGGAGTTTTTTTCCATATCAGACAAAGGAAATGTATCCAGATTACCTACAGTCTCTCAGAAAACGGCAATTTGAATGTTCTTGGCCTCTTCTTTAAAATAATATTAAATTAAATATAGATATCGGGATTACTTTTCACGTGATTTCAAATTGAATTCCATGAAAATACTTTATTTTCTTCATAATTCTATTAGAGCCGTAAAGTACGGGAAAAAGAAAGTTGAAATTGATTATGACGTCATAATGGATCTAGCACCAAAAAGTTAGTCTAGAGTCATTTACTAGATCTTGACCTTAAGGTAGGTCGCGGGTTTGCTTTTGTCATCAATTTCGGTACACAATTTCGACGATTCGAGCGGTTGTTTTGTGCACATTTGATTATGACGTCAGTTACGTCACAAAGGCGACGTTGCATTGCTTCCCGTTTATTTCTCTGAAAATTACTTTAGCAATAGAATCTAGTTCGTACGAAGCGTAGAACGTGTTATTGTCCGTAATTGTATTGTCGTAAATGTATGAACCCAGAGTATTATAAGTTTGAATTCTGCTCTGATTATATGTGTAATGTATGAGAACAAACTAATAAAACATAATAAATGCGATGCAAAATGCAAGGAATAATTTATATTGCAAATGATACTAAACTGTTCAAGGTTAATCAAAGTGAGTTAGTGTTAGATTAAAGATATGGCATGCAAAATGAAAGTTACCGTAAATTCCTAAGCCGAAAAATTGAAAGGTTGTATGTATGCCCGTAATTTGCAACGAAGGGAAGGTGCGTAATGCACGATGTTTGCTCATCACAGCGGAAAAAACAAACAAATTTGTTATTTTTAGAATAATATCAATCCTCAACACTAAAAACGGATGAAATTTAATTACATGCATTTTCCTCTTTTTTTTAAAAAAATCGTTTTGTATTTGAATCTGATAAAGTCGTTCTCTATATGCAGGCTAGCAAGGAATTGAGTTATCATAGTGAAATGCATTAAACATGTTAAAATAAATTTATACAAACACCCGGCATATCGGACCTTTATGACACTCTGAACAGATATTAATATACTACATTTATTACTAAATACAAGAATCAAGTACAATTTTTTCTATAATAAAATTAAGATGTCTGCGCATATGCTGAATGCAAGTATTTTACATTTTGCCGATGAAAAATTGATAAAGGAAAAAAAAAACAAGAAAGAACAAATGTTTGAGAGTTCGGACTATATACTGAATTGCGATTGATATAAAAAGAACATTGCCGGACCCCCCCCCCCCCCTTTTTCAGTAGTGGGGTGTTTTTTTGTTTTTGTTTTTGTTTTGTTTCGTTTTTTTTTTTTGTTTTTTTGTTTTTTTTTACCGATTTCGAATGAAGTGATAAAATTCACGTGTTATTCTTGAAATCTTAATAATGAACTTGAACATCCTAACATTACTTGTATTAATTTATTATCAATCGCAGTGTTGTCGCTGCACATTAATTCTAATGCACGAAGAATGTTTATATCAATATACCGTTCATTCTTACTTTGTGGGCAGAATATGAATTTCATAATACTAGAGTACAATGTAAATAAATTGCTCTTCTTCCTAACACGTTTCCGCAATAAGTGAAATGCTGAATAAAATTACAGTGTGCATCTATGTCACCTTTTAGATCTTGTATATTCCTTATATGTAAACGCGATTACGTTCAATCTATGACGTTTTAGTCATAAATAACGCCATAAACGCAATATTTTGGCAATATAAAAGCAAACTTTAAAATTATTTAGCAAAAAAACTAGCGAGAAGACATATTGATTTTTTTATCTCAATAGTTTTAATTTTACCTCATCTTGATATTTTGAAATTTCTGAGTAATTCGTCTACGTCTTTAAAAAGTTATTCGACTTTTTCTGAATAAACTCTTCTGGTAAAATTGTTTTAAAAATGCAATTTTCCTATATATTTCTATAGTAAAGCGTAAAATTAGTACCGAAAACTATACCGCGTTTACATTAATATAGCATTAAAACCACGTAGGCAGATTTAATAAAAATTTCAGATAAAATGCCGCAAATTCTAAGGAACATTATATCAAATTTTCAGTATATGTTTTCTCGTAAGAATTTTTATGCAGTAAACCCGCGACCTACCTTAAGAACAGCAGGGCCATGATAAGTGTTAACAAAATAAATTACTTCAGTTAAATTTTGGAATCTCAAAACCAACAACCCAAATACTAGGGTTGAGGCAAATTGGAAGTCCAAACCATTTTCTGTATATACTGTAAAAGCACAAATTTTCATGCGGATAAAATTTTGTTGATTTGTCATCTAAAATGGTTTCGTGGGCATTTAATTTCGTTGTTATGAAAGTAACCCTATTCAATATATAGCCATTTTAAAAAAAAAATGTGGGGGATTTAATTTCTTTGATAATTGTCAACAACGAAATAAACAAAATTTAATACCCAATGAACATTTGTGCTTTTACAGTATTTTAACATTGATATCTTGAAGCTTTTTTTCCCAGCCCCATGGAGTTTGATTAAAAATTTGATTGATTACGTTTCTTACACTTGTAAGAATAAATGAATATTCATGTATTAGTGTTTCACTCACTGTTCATTTTTCATTGTTGCTCCGTTCCTATTTCACAAGCATGTTCAGTTTCACTCTGACTTCATTTAGAAAGTTTTTGTTTTATTAACATTTGTGTGGAGTGGTAGAGTATTTCAGGGACTGTGCACCATTCATATATATTCATAAGTAATAGCATTAAAAAGGGGGGGGGGGCTAGAAAGTGACCACAGGTGCTTGGGGACGGGAACAAGGTTCTCTTTTAGTATCAGAGAGTGTGAATTTTTATAAAAGGCTAGTATTGTGTGTTGGGGAGGGGGGGGGGGTATTGTCTATTTCTGTCACAAACAAAGGCAATAGAATACAAAGAAATAAACAGTCAATGTGTGTTGAAGAATTTATTTTTCGCACACATACCGTGCTACTGAATTGCAATGAACATCGATAAATTGATATTGGTGATTAGAGTAAAGCCATAAACAGAGTTGTGGTGATGCCTTGGTACCACCAGGTTCTCCTGGACCAAAGGAGAAGAAGGACATCTTAGAAACACGACCATTTCTGACCCATCTCCAGTCTCCTCCCTTTATCTCCCGATTCACATCTCGTCCCCCGATGGCATAATGCTGGCCTTTAGAAATAGTGTGTAAATTATTTCATGTGTGTGCACATAAAGTGTCCATTTCATTTAGGAGGGTGACTCGTAAAAACACTAGCTTTGTCAGCATTACAGAACTGAATGGGATTTTCCTGTAGTTACATGATTTGTTATGTACACATGAAGTTGTCGTCGATGCAAAATTGCAGAGGTCACAAATTAGAACTTTTTAAAAATGTAGATTCAAATACAGAGCAGTCAGATTAGGCTTAATGTATGTAGTAACTTGATGATAAAGAAGTCACTGGGACTTCAAATTTTGCTTTCTTATAACGGAGATTCTTTATATCCATATAAGGAACATAGTGAAGAGCCTTCTAGGGGATTCGTATTAAGTTCCATGTAACCAAGATTTCCTTATAAATGAGTCCTTTACAATTGAGTTTTACTGTATGTATTTCAAGGGCATTTCAGGTATATTTTCATAGAAATTCAAAATGCTCTAGGGGTAATGAAATATGGAGATAATGAACAATAAACAAGCACAAGTCCATGCATTAATTGGAATATACAATTTGGAAGCAGAGCAAACACTGACCTCTAAAAACATCACAGGTTGTATCGGGTGCCATGGAGGAGTAAGCATCCTCTATCAACCAGTCACATCCACAATGTGCTTCTTGTCAAGATTGGACAAAAAGAAAAACCCATAAATTCAGTGTAAAACTAGAGGTGCTGTGAGAAGTGAGTTTACAAAATAAAACTCCCTGCTCCCATATGGGTATAAGGGTAAAGTCCATTTTTTTTGCTATGGGAAAACCCAAATATCTGTCCAATCAAAATATAAAGTAGGAGGTGCATAATGACACCATGTAATAGAGATTCTTTGAAAGTATTAAATTTGATTCAGTGGTATTGTGACTATTGTCAGAGTCATGGATAAGAGATGCATGGACACCCGCAACATCATAGAAAGAATGGCATAGTCCGTATTTTGCTGTGGGAGACCTAAAATATTTGATCGAAAAGTAAAATAGGAGGTGCACAATTGCACTATGTAAGAAAGATTCTGTGAAAGTCTGATTAAATTTTATTCTGTGGTATAGGATAAGTTGTGGATTAGAGATGGGTTTCCCAAAGGAGGGAAGATGAAGCTGGAGGATGAAGAGTATTATGGCTGATCTTCAGACACTGCATACCGGTATGCTAAACCGACTCAGAAATTAGTTGTCATAGATAAGAAATTCATGACTTCCAAGAAATCTCATGGTAGCATTTTGACAATTTGAAAGGAAAACTCATAAAAATTTACAGCATGTGCATACTGAAACAAAAGTTTCCCCTTTAAAAATTTTGATAACAGAATTGAAAATTTTATTGGGTGTACTGTAATCAATGATAAGGATTTAACACTAAGAAAAAAGCTGGATTCAAGTAAACAGAGGGGGAGGGGGTCACCTTGCCATGGAAAAAATCAAGGGAGGTCAACGTGAAACAGGTCATGGTCACTATATTTTGGGATTTTAAGGGTATTCTTTTGATAGTTTAATTTCTAGCCCGAGCCAAGCTATTATTGGTGAATATTATATTTTTATCTGGTTGTCCTGTTTCGGGAATTAATAATTTGAGTGCTGTTCCATTGACAATGCATGCATATCATATAACAGTCAATGCATTAGTTGCAAAAATGTCGAAGTTCTTAATCATTTCCCATGACTCTCAGTGATTAGTTCCTCTTTCCATATCTATAAGTGAAGCCCCCTAAATTTTAGGAATTAGGTTATTGAAACATACATTACATGTCAGAAGTGTTACTGTTAATATCCTAAAGGGGAAAAGAGGCAGCATTTGAAGTGATACTCAAGTCCAAATATTTTTGAAGTCACCCTTGCATAAAAAAAAGATATTAAATTATATATGAAAGATATGCGAGTTATAATACGAAATCATTAAACTGACTACTCTTCAATAGATAGAAATTACCATTCTTCATTCCTGCCAGTTTGTATCGTATAATAAGATATTCATGAAGAGTTTCCAGGTTTGCCAAATATCCACCTTTGTGAAAGCAATTTACCTGTAAGGTAATCACTATATGCAATTTAAAGAATTTGTATGCAGATGATCATCTGCAATATACTCAATATCTTGTTATTTCTGCAGTTTGAAAAGCAATTTGAGGAGACATATTAAAACTAAATGTATCTCTCTATGATTTTTTCTTTCTTTTTAACATACTTAATTAAATAATTTTATTGAATAGAAAAAAAAGATATCCCTCACGTAAGCCTCATCCCAGGATGCTTTATCTGTACTGAAGTAGTAACAGTTGGAACCCAGCATTCGGTACGGGTAGCTGCATCGTTTCCCTGAGTATGTGTCATACTTTACATAGCAACATAGCATTGTAATTACCAAGTTTACTATTTGATACAAAATATAGCATTTTTTAAAGTAATAAAATCTAATTATAAGATTTTAAACAAACTTTAAGACATTAAACCTACCTGAAACAATAGTATAAAAAATACATGCAGCAAATATGACTCTATTTATCATACCCATCTTGGAATAGTGGTTGGATATCTTTGATTTACTTGTATATATACAGAGCAGTCAAACGATTATTTGGTGCAGATGTTGTAAAGCTAATACTGGATAGTTTTACCTGTTAAATTGTTATGTATTTACGAGGTACTTCAAGAACAGCTGTACTATTGATATGTTGCATTTAAATCCTTAACAGTCACACAAGTTACACCAATACACTGCAGCAATAATTTCCTAAAACATTTTCTGGACATCAAGACACTATGAGGTTTTGTTAATGCAGAGTTTTATTTAAAAATATGTTTTGTTTTTGTATTTAATTTTTAATTATTATTATTTTTAGACACAAGAACTTCTTTGCAAACTAAGAAATCAGATTTCTTTTTATTACACTTCCTGTTGAGCACCAGGGTAGGGCTACCTGAATTGATCATATAATATTGTACACATATTGACTGCATTAAATCTTTACAAATCTTCTTCAGCACTGGGCATTTAGCAAATAATGTCAATTCCATAAAATAATATTTGACAGTGCTATAGGTTTGAAATTAACAGAGAGAGAGAGAGAGAGTCAAAGTTTGTACATAGAGTAATTGTGCCTCATGTTTGCGGTGTACAGTTATATGTATCTTGACTCAGGTGACTGTGAAGGACCATGGTCCTCTGGTTGACCAGTATATCCTTTCTAAAACCATTTCAATAGTTTGTTTGCTACACTCCCTGAAGTACATGATATCACAAAAATTATTAAATGTATTCAGGGGACACAACTTTAACAATAGTCATTCAAGCACAGAGTTTCTGGACATCCAAATGATGAGCTACAGTTGATGAGGCACATGTTAAAGCATGGCATTAAAGTTCCTTCTTTCTTTTAGTTATTTATAATCAACCACTTAAGAAAGTAATAATCAAATTTTTATTCTCATTGTACAAATATTATAGTATACAACAAGCCGCTGACTTCTTTTTGGTGTCATTTGTGTGAGACTGTACTTCACTACTTTGTTCTACACTAGCAGACTTTGTCTGTGGTTGTACAGACACTGAGGGCGAGTTCTTTTTCTGAATGGAGGGAGTTTCACTTTCAAGGTCACCTTGCTTTTTACCGTCACTATTGTTTGAAGAGGAGTCTACAGTTTTGGGAACATTGGATGACCCCTCTGTCTTCTTGTCCTGATCATTACTTTCATTGGATATGGGAATGTGTTCCTCAATTTTCTTAAGCAGTTCATCAAATGCTTTTCCCTCCCATGTTAACTGAATGGACTCGTCCTTTGAGAAGTTAACATACAATAGTTGTGTAAGAACCATGCTCATTGGTCCACCTGGGGGCCAGTCTATTTTTTCCATCAACATGGGGATGATAGGTTTCTTCAGAGCATCAGCCAGACTGACTTCTCTCCTACAGTTGGCAGACAAAGCGTACTTAGTGGTAACTGAAGACAAGACAACCTTACAACCTCTGACCCCACAGTCAATCTTGTCATACAGGGAATCCCCTCCTCCCATTTGATGGATGTCCATCCAGCAGGTAAACCCCAGACTGGTCAGTCTCTGGTACAGGGCCATGATTTCTTTTTGTTTACCCCATTGATAGGAGATAAAAATATCAGGGGAAACCACTTTAGATGCAGCCTAAAAACAAAACATGTTTAACTATCCTTAGTTTTTGAAACATTGTGAATCCCACGAATTAAATATTGGTTCAAAGTAATTCTGTTACCTTATTTCATAAAAAAAGAAAATACAAACTTGTAGATATTGTATACTTTTATTTTTTTGTTTATATTATTATTATTAAGAATTTTTTATCATTACCTGTGTTATTATTTTTTATTATGCTCTTTCCTTGTTTTTATTTTTCTTGTATCACTTAGAACTAAAGGTTGAAAAGTATAGACGGAAGCTAGTCCTTACTTCATTCAAGATAAAGTTGAGCCCCCCTTTAATTACCAGTATTGAACGCATGTACATAAAAGTCGCAATATGATGATACATTTGTCCCATTTTCTCAAATTTCCCAAATATTGTCAACTTTTTGTCATCGAGTATGATGTTTTATATGTCATATTTGAATATGTTTTTGTACTTGTATGAGGGATGTCTTGTATAAATCAAAGATAGGTTTGGTTACATTCTATCCTTTATATAAAGCAAAAAGTATCTAAAATATAAATATTGATCAGAAATGAGGAAATTTTATGTAAATGTTTATTTTGTGACATCTGTGGAAATGAAAATCCAAACTGTTTATGAGACAGGTGTCATATATTCCTAGGTTCTTGATTACAATTTCTGCTATCCCTATTTTGATTTATCTACAATGTTAGACCCTCTCACCTTCTGCTGCTCGGTGGCTGAAGGTGAATTTTCCACTTTTTTGTCCTGTTTTCTAGGAATTACAATGTTTTCCACAACTGGTATCCACCAATTCTTATACTCTGTGAAAAGTAACAAACAATTACATTATTCTAATGGCTAAATAAAAACTTTTAATAGACTTAATAAAAGTAATTTTCCAATTATCCAGTCAATAAGATACAACCATAGTTAACCTTTCTCCCTTGGATCAACCTGAATAAATTTCCTAGCTCCCAATGCAATTAAAACCAATTGTTCAGTTGCTTTCAAAATGCTTATGTCCGGAAAAAAAAATAAACAGAAAAGTTACCTGGATTTGTAACACATTTTTTAGAAAATTACGAAGGTCAGTAATCCTAAACTTTCGCCAAGTTTCATTGAGATGAACCCAAAACTGCAGAGGTTTAAAACAAAAAATCCACATATTATTCTACTTCTAGTATTGAAACTGACATAATACTGATACACTGAAATATGAGCAATGATAATGTCTAATTGTGCACCTTTATGAAATCAGATCAGAATTGTAGGAGGAGAAGCATTTTAAAACTAGAGTTTTCCAAGGAATGCGTGTGTCATCTGCTTTATAGCACACCATTCAAGACGTAAATACTCTAAGAGTGGTCACCTATTTATTTGCTACTAGCATAGTAAATAGTTCCATTTATTTGCCTACAAAGGGAAAAAAAATCTGCAGATAGTAAGACTGAATAGAATTTGACAATCAAATACAAATATCTCTCAATCCCTCAAAGCTAAATGAATAATGAAATTGAAATTATTAGAAATTATTATTTCTCATTTTATTAATTAGTGTTTCAAACAATCCTCCAAAAGAGATTTCAGTCTGTCTTTACTGCAATTGTCAGTCTAGCAATCAGTTTTTGGAATACCAATCGCTATGTATTTTCGTAGTATATAAATTTCAGCTTATGTGGTAACTGTAACAGTATATCATGCATTTTCAAAGTACAGTGTCATGAGCTCATAAACATGAGATATAAATGCTAATTATCAAAAGCCTGCCACTCAAAATTCAAAAAACATAAATTAAACCGTCTGGATATTTTTTTTGCAAAGTAGGTCATGGTCAAGTGGACTGTAATGCTGTTATTTTTCATATTGTTTTAAGACAAACAATTCACAAGCTAAATAGCATAGACTTACCCCTTCAACGTCAAAAATATGCTCATATCAGCACTATGAATTATTTTGGGAAAAAAGATCAAAGGTCAAGTTCAAGGGTCATAAGGTTGCTAACCATGGTATTTTACAAAAGCTACTGTGCAAAGCAATATACTGTGTACTGGATTTTTTTTTTTTTTGCCCTTTCACACTTGCTAACAATTTTGCTCTGTTTTAAATCCGCCAAGTCACAGTTCTGTTATACTGTGTACTTTGAATTCCCCGTTTTAAATTCGCCCAAGTGTGATTAGGACGAAAATAAAAGGAGGACAAAAATATCCCTGTATACAGTATGTGCAGAATATCAAATCCATATCTCTTACAGTTTTGGAGATATAAGGTATGACAGATGGACAGACAGATGCCAGGTAAAGTGATCCCTAAGTGTTGCTCTGCTCTGCAGGTGACATAGAAATTATCTTTGTGACTTATAGGATAAACAAACTCAAAACAAACCAACCCTCTGAAATATTCTGTTGATCTGGCATCACTTTTAAACAGTTGAGCTGCATGAGAAGTTCCATAAACTTAGCAGCTGGCCAGATTCGGTCATCTTTGGTTTCCTCTCCTGGTCTTTGAAAAAATCTGATGAACAGGTACTCGCTGAAAATTGGTCCCATTGAACCTGTCGGTGGCCAGGGCATTTTCTCTAACAGAAGCGGGATCATTGGTTTCCCAAGGTTCACAGACAAATTGACCTGCCATTATAAAAAATGAATTTTTATGTTCAATGTAAAAGGCATATATTTCTCTCAATGTATACCAGTGTATCATTCAGAAATACAAAAATGACAATATGACTGCCAAAAGTTTGAATTATTCTATTTATAAAGACATTCTTTACACAGTTTATCACAGTCTGGCACAATCTATTTTGATTTTGTTACGCAAGTTCTTACATCAAAAGGATGATGTGCCATACGGCCCCCGGTAAATTGACAAAAAACTAAATATCTAAATTTTACTCTAATTTTTGCATGCACTTAATCACTGATATGTGTACCCTCATGGAATACTACTTTTACCGAAAATAGAAACATTATTTGGAAGATATACGTCTTAATTTTGAGTAGGGGTACTGTGTTTACATCCAATTCCCATTGAATTTTGGCCCCTCCCCACTCTTTGAAGCCCTTAAAATATACGAGCGCAAGTGGGTACATTTTTCTCCTTTGGCTGGTCACTGTATTTTATTAAAATCTACCTATATGTGAAAGGAGAAAAATGTACCTAACTGTGCTCACATGTTGTGTTTAAAAAATTGTAAAATCTAGCTGACCTTTCCCATTATGAACAGATCGACGAAACTATTTTTTCAGATGTAAGAATAAATTCATATGCTAACTGAGGCACCGGCGTGACTTTCTCACCGACCAATCAGCTAAATGAGTTGCATTATGAGTGAGTACCACAATTTTATGCTTGGAAAAAAAAAGGCATTTTTTTTTACTAGCTTTCCGATTGACATTATTTATGCTTTTCTGTCACAGATTAGACACGAATCACCAATTTCCCTGCTCATAAATACACAGAATTGATTTTTAAACTTACATTGTATGATTTCATAGTTTTGTAAGGCGTTTTGGTGGGCAATTGGCTACGTATATTCCCGAGTATCAGTGAATACACGTTTCATGTGCATTTCTTGGCCAAAAAGGATATACGCTGAAGTTCCATGTATATTATCATGCATTAAAAAAGCCTTTGCTGACCATTAAAAGTTTTTAAAAGTAGTAGAGATAATGTGTAAATTGACCTAAACCACGTTTCTGTGATAAAATGTTAACAGTAGTAAACCAGCACGTTTTGTCATTCAGTCATAGGATTGGACAATTGTTCTCTGTAAGCGACTATGGGCAAAATAATAACAATAGCCATATAAGGTATATTTCTCGGGCTTGCATATCCCTCTATTGTACTAAGACACGCCTATTCTCTATTCATAATAGAACACACATTGTCACAAACCAGGCCAAACTTTGCCGTCATGGGGTCTAAAAAATCATAGATAATGCAATAATCCTCATAATTATAATGTGTCCAAAGTATTGAAACTATTCAAAAGGCATCGTATTTATTCACTCTTGTTTGAAAACTATCAAAATCGTTGTAGAATAAATACAATTCGTCATAGAAAAAGGGGCCCCAGACAGTAGTTTTGGCACATCATCCTTTTGAGGGTTTTCCTCATGTGAGGGAAGTTTTGAGTTTGACCCAAACAGATGCCACCTAACATTAACATTATCAGAGGGCAGTCACAGACTTTCAGATGAGAATCAAGTCTGTATGATGGTGGACATAAAGATCCCTTACAATGTGATCTATTCCTGTACGTCTTAAGCCTACAGCCAGTGTTGTCATCTTGATATGAAGAAAAAATCATTGATAAGATGTAAAACTACCTGCATGGAGTTAGCTAGTATACAGAAAATTTAATACCGGTAATTTGTTAGAGAACATTGGCAAGATACTATTCATCCAGTGATGCCAGTTTTCCTACTGATGAACTTCTGATGACTGTTTTTAAGTTTGCTATAAAGGAATCTGCTCACAAAAATTCCTTTGACATTAGAAATAAAAACTTTTATTCATTTGGCTATATCTACCTCTCTGTTACAGTTGGGTGATTTTGCGTATTTCTCCGTCACACAAGAGATGACTACTTTGGCCGCCCTAATCCCAGAATCAATCTTCTCAAACAGCTTATCCCCACCCCCCATCTGCCCCACATCCATCCAGCATTTATATCCAGCCATCTCCAGGTGTCTACTGATGAGTTTGACCTCATTCTGGTGACCCCACTGGTAACTAAGGAAGATCTCTGGGGGTTCTGGGTAATCCACTGGTTCATCAGCTACCACCCCTTCTATGAATGGAAATAGTCACTGACGTAATCAAACCTTTTCTTTATTGATGATTATGAGAGAAAATTTACAAAAAAAGATATTTGTTAAAATAGAATATTTTTTATTCCAAAGATTTTTTTTTCTGAGTTTACAAATACATGATAATTAAAACATTGCTCATTTTTTGTTCTGACAATACCTGCAGCCTTCATGGCATTTTCCACAATAATGGCAGCATCCAAACGATTCATCTCCTGCAGGATATTCAGTACACCTCTAGATGCCTCAAATGTCTTGTGTGTGGCATACCATTCACTCAGCAAGGCCATGCAAGGATCTGATTGGGTGGCCCAGCCTCTGATGTCATCTGGACTGTAACCAAGGCGACTAGCCAGGAGTCTCCAGTCATGTTCAGATTCTGGGTTCAACAATTTTGTGACATCTCTTGACCAAGTAGGTGCATTACTCATAGTCTGTAGCATATAAGAAAATATTTCCACTTAAAATATTAGAAAAAAAATTTATAATGGTCAAATTACTTATTGCTACCTCCAATATATGACATGTATCTCCCACAGAATACAATATGTTCACTGATTTACCATCTTGTATAAAATTAGCATATACTTAAAAGCATCATTTTTTTAATCACAGGATAAATACAAACATAGTGAGTGAATCATTCCCTTTTTACCTTTTTATCCACCTCTTCCACTCTTTCTTTTGTCTCTTCCACGTCCACCTCTACTTGATCAACCCGTGTGTTCACCTCCCCCAGCCCCTCTTTGACATTTTCTACCTCCTCTCCCTGCTGTTTGACATCTCTCTGTACCTTTTTCAGTACAACCTTCGTTCCTGCCACACCCACCTCTAATTTTTCTATCTGTCCTGACTGCTCTTCAATGTCTCGGGACACTCCCTCTAGACTAAAATAAATATGCATATCATTTAGTTTGATGTATATTAAAACCCTTGATCCTGACTTTTTAAGGAGTGTCTATCATTTGTTAGCATAATCTTCATAAAACATCAAACCTCAGGAAAAGGATACAGAGCAAACAAACAAACAAACAAATAAACTTAATTCAGACAAGCTGTTTCGTAGTTGGATCCATCATCATTAAATAATGTTGTATTTTCGGACCCATTGATTCTTGAATTTATTTTACCATCCACTTTATTTTTATAATTTCTCTATCATCTCTCTCTTTTTTGGAAGCCTGGGCCTTTTCTTATAATAATTTGAATTTCCTTTACACAGGGAATATACAGTCAAACCTCATTAACTCGAACTCAATGGGACTGAGAAAAAAACTTCGTGATAACCGAGGATTCAAGATAACCAGAGTAAAATACTTGAGGAATAAGAAGATGGGACTTCAAAATGACTTCGACATATCCATGGTATTCAAGATATCTGTGCTCGAGATACTGTGCTCAACTGTATAGGCCCGTAGGAAGCAATTTCAGTTTGGGGGGCACAGCCATACACTTTCAGTTGAGGAGGCACTATCAACTACCAAAAATTTCTTGACAAGCAAAAAAAAAAAAAAAAAAAAAAAAAGAAAAAGAAAAAAAAAGGTCATCAGATGTTTTTATTGAGGGGGCACAAGCATATAGTATATATGTTTTCTATAGTCCTCTATATATCGGCAAAATTATTGGGGGGGGGGGGGGGGGCACGGCCACCCGTTTCCTACGGCCATGCTGTATATGCCAAGTTTGGTTGACTTTGACCCAGTGATTCTGAACAAAGTGATACTGTGAAAACTTTACCAATGACAGACCAAAAACTACATATGGATGACAAACAAATAAGAAAAGTTCATTTGAGCCTTTGGCTAAGATAAGCAATAAAGATGTTTACCTTCTGCCTTCCAATTCATCCACAAGATTTTCTGCTAGATCTCTCAAGGCTTGAGATTGCCCCTTTGTTTTCAAACTCTCTATATAGTTCCTGTCTTCAGAGGTGAATATTTCGGCACCAAAGATTGAATGTAATTCTCTCAGTCCCTGTATACTTGATGTCAGAACTTGTTCAGTGTTTGATTCCTTCAGTCTCTTCATCAAATATGAATACACTAATCCTTGTTTACTCTGGATTAGGAAAACAAAACAACAAACTTTTTTTTTAAAGACAATGATCAATCAGTCTCTCTCTTTACATTCATCTACAGTACACATTAAGTCTCTATTCTATTGGTTGTAACAAACATGTATGTGATTAAGTATGTGATTATAGTCGTGGCAAGTCTTTTTTTTATTGGCTCTCTAGTTAAATACCACTCCTGACATTTAGCTGCTATCCTAACATGGTGAATTAGTAGTTAGCAGTGAGTTATACCACACCTGACATTTAGCTGCTATCCTAAGATGTTGAATTAGTAGTTTATAGAAGTGAATTATACCACACCTTGTATTTAGCTGCTATCCTAACTAAGACGATTTGGTAGAAGACAGTTATATATCACACCTGACATTTAGCAGCTATCCTAACTATGATGGTGAATTGGTAATGAGCAGTTAATTCCATCATGAGTTCACTCTTCATTAGATAATCCTCCAGGAATGGCTCCAGGTTTTCAGCGCGAGTTTTTGATACTGTCTCCAACACTACCAGTACTTGAGGGTTGACATTTTTGTCCATGAAATGATGCTTAAACAGCAACTCCAAGACTTCTGTTGTGAACAGCTACAACAAAATCAGTTTATAAGATAATTATAAAACCTAAGATCTCTGATGAGACTGTAGTTCTACTGGTTTGTTCTATAATTGTGAAGAGAAAAGATGCATCTGAATTTGATTATTTTTTCTTATTTTTTAGTTTTACATTTAAAGAATAATGTATCTTGATGTTTTCTTAACTTTAATCAATCTTAATTTAAATCAATCCAGAAATTTACTATGACTAGCATTTTGAAAGAATTCTATTCCTAAAAAAAAGTTCATCATTGAAAAGAATTAAGCATCTTCAAGAAGTCTTCTTGTCTACCACGATTTATTGAAATTGATAAAAATTCAACACAATATGCAGCTAGGTTAAGGACTCCCATATATACGTCAGCTTATGCAGAGGTTCGGGAAAGCTATTATGACGTCACGTTAAAACAATACAAATGAATCTCGGCGAATAAATACTATACGTTCTTTTTAAAACACACCAAATACTTTCGTTCCTCATAAATATTATAATTATAAATGGATATGCAACTTATCTTGCCATAATAGCACTTAGCGAACGTAGAATGAAAGCCAGCTTGATCTCGCTGTACTTACTGAGATGACGTCATTTTTTAGTTTGACACGCAGTTTCTCTGTACTTGAGGCGTGGATCAAGCTTTTATCGTAGCTTGTAAAAATAAAAATAGATACAAAACACGCATAGTCGGACCAAATGAGAGACATATTCTGAAATATATTAATCCATATCTTATTGTCAAACTAAATTGATAATGTGTAGACTTTATATAAAGCGGTGAGGAGCACAATTGTACAGTAACATGCTAGAATGACAGGTCCAGCCCCTTGAAAATATCAAAAGTTCAACGATATCCGCTTCACTATGAATTCCAAATTTTTAAACACGTGTAGCTATTATCCCTACTATTCTGAAAAGTGCTGGGAGCTGGTTGTGTATCGTTTATTTATTCCGTAATGTAACATTATTACAATGCGTATTGCATTTTTGTCGGGAGTTAATAGAAAGAAGGCTAAATTTTAAACAATTCCCGAGCATGAGGAAGTTGCTCCCAGCACTTTTCATGTTAAGGAATTTGTCTCAAAGAAAACAGAATAAATTTTAAAGCAGAAAGATACCCGTGTATCGTTGAACTTTTACGATCTTTGTAGTAGTACATGTATGTTCTTCTTTCAAACCTGTCACGTGACAAACAGCTGATGTAAGCGATATCGCTTTGGCCGAGCTCAGCAGAGACCCGATATATACAAGTGCAAACACCACAATCCACATTTATCAAAACTAATGCTGTTAAAAAAATATTAAATTTGTATTCATTTTCGCTAAATGTATCAATGCGTATATTTTATGGGCGTCCTTAACCTAGCTGCGTAAATCCAGTTTCCAGCTAATCTGTGGCTGACTTTCCCAGTAATATTGGCTGTATACCTCAGGCTGGCTCTCTGACACTTTCTTTATCAACATGGCCTGCATTGCCAGTTCGTTTGTCTGTGTTTTCTGAGAAAATGTCTGGATCAGTGGCAGAAAGTAGGTCGCAAATGTCTCCGAATTTCCATCATAACCAGCTGATATAGCATCTGGAATTTACATAAAGAATTTGTCACTTTATTAAATACCAAAAAAATTACACGTAACAAAATCAGCATAGTACAAGATGATCATAGTGAACAATATACATATATATATAATAACAATGTATGTATCATAATTTATAGTGAATGAATAGCAGAACATAGTGGAGTAAAGCTTACTCCAGATAGAACTAATATGAAAGAATATTGGATCAGTCAATGAACCTAAATCTGTTTGGAGAACTTCAATCTACTAGTTTATACTTTAGTACATTAGAGGGATAAAAAGTTGGACCTGAACTTATGGCTCCTTTTTTCACATTTAGAAAATTTTGAATATTAATGTTTTCTAAATTTGTATTATTATTTTTAATCAAAATCAAGCCAAAACTGTAAGAGAAGTAGAATTTTGAAAGAATTCCACTGTTTTAAATAACCATGGTAACATGGAATCACAACAAAACTGTAGAAGAAGTAGACTTTTGAAAGAATTATGTATTTTGATGTAATCTAAATGTGTACCATAGCATTTAAAAATTGTTTACAGATAGACAGATGATGGATAGTTTATCACTGCTTAAGCTCTTCTGATCTCCGACAAGTAGGGATAAGAAAGAAAGACAATAATTTTGATGTTCTACAAAGGTTCACTAAAAAAGGTTGTGTGATTTGATAAATCCTGAATTTGTTTAAATTCTCCATGGAATGTCAAGGTCAAAATCCTTTTGTATTTTGCTCATGAAATATCAAATTTTATCAAACATCCTTTTGAAAAATGTCTTTTTCAGCCATATAGAGTACTTTATATAAAGCATTAGTATAGGGGGTTGTCTTTGTAAAAATGCCAGCTCAAACAGACTAGAGTATATGAACACCTGAACAGTCAACAATTCTACATCCCTAATCCAACAAAAGCCATGGTAGAGATGGATGCTTGGGAACATTCATGTTAGTTAACTTGATATTATTTACAAATAAAAGAAATGGATTATTTAGAAAAATGACTTTAGTTAACCTCATGACAATCTCTACCCTACTCCAGTAGACCTTTTGCACAATAATACCTGTAACGAGAACACTACCTACTAATATCTAACCTGAATACCTCTGCCCTCTTCCATAAAGTCTTTTTAAACAATCATACTTGTTAACCAGAAAACACATACTTAGAGTACTGGAGTCCTTCTCCCTGAGATAGAGATTAATGAGATCCTCCATGCCCTTTGTGTCCATTAACTGGGACGTCTCCTGTCCAAACAACTGCATTATGATCCTCATATTGGAGCTGATTAGCTCCTCCTCATTATCCATCAGTTTCTGTATGTGAGGAACTAAGGGTTTCAATCTTCCTATCGTCTTCTTCTCTCTGTGCTGTGGAATATACATTATATTGTTACCTACTGGGAACTAATGATAAATAAACAAGAGGCCCAAGAGCCTTGAATCACTCTTCTGATAAACTGTACAACCTATCACTTCTATTTGACGATTCTAATCCAAATAGTACCCAAAAAATATTAAATACAGCCTTAAAATTTCAAAAGTAGGTCAGGGTGACCTACTTTTCAGTTGTCGTACTCCAAGGACCCAAGATGCATCAACTGACAAAGTTTGATGATTCTAAGCTGATTAGTACCTGAAATATTTAATTATAGTCATATAAATTGAAAAGTAGGTCATGGTGACCTACTTTTCAGTCGACCTACTGTGAGGACCAAAGATGCATCAACTGACAAATTTTGATGATTCTTAGCCAAATAGTACCCAAAAAAATTAAATACAGCCACAAATTTCAAAAGTAGGTCAGTTGTCATACTCCAAGGACCCAAGATGCATCAACTGACAAAGTTTGATGATTCTAAGCAAATCAGTTCCTGAAATATATAATTAAAGCCATAAATTTTCAAAAAGTAGGTCATGGTGACCTACTTTTCATTCGACTTACTCCGGAGACCCAAGATGCATCAACTGACAAAGTTTTATGATCATAGGCCTTAAAATGTCCAAATTATGCCTCTAAAACGCTTTGAAATCGAATGCCTGCAAAGTTCAAAAAGTAGGTCACTGTGACCTACTTTTTAATACATATGTTTCATGGCCCCAAGATGCATCATCTTGCAAGATTTCATGATTCTAAACCTCTCAGTATTCGAATTATTGACCAGAATTGTTTTGTAAAAGATAAGCCATAAAATTCAAAAAGTAGGTCAAGGTGACCTACTTTTTAGTTGATGTACTTCGAGGACCCAAGATACATCAACTGTCAAAGTTTGATGATCATAGGCCTTAAATTGTTCAAAATGTGCCTCTAAATCATTTTGAAAAAGAATGGCCGCAAAATTTTAAAAGTAAGTCACCATGACCTACTTTTAAGTCAACATGATATGAGGTCCTTAGATGCATCAACTGACAAGATTTGATGATCCTAGTCCATATAGTAAGCAAAATATCAACATTTTGATAAAATGTAATTTTTGGTCAACTTTGAAGTGACCTTGAGACTACGCCCTTTGCCCCAGGGTGATGCCTTGAACAATTTTTAATCTACAACATATCCTCATCCTTTTGTGTAGGTTTGGTGATAATCTGCCCAGTGGTTCTTGAGAAGATTTTTTAGCAACCAGTACTTTTGTTTCTATTTTCCTAATTATCTCCCCTTGTTAAAGGGTCACAACCCTAGTTTTAGTATAAAAGGGAGCCCTTGGGCCAAGGATACCCTGTGACAAATTTGACAATAATTGGCCAAGGGGTTCTTGAGTTATGGCCCATATTCTAAAAAGTTTACGCACACTGCACAAATGGCCATAGCATTAGCTCTTTGAGCCTTTGGCTCAGAAGAGCTAAAAACACAGTCATTCATTAGCTAATTTTATCCTTATGATCAAAAGTTTCTTGAAAGCCATAACCCGTTCCAAGCAAAAATGAGTTTCATTGTACGTTTAAGTAATTAAATGAAAATAATGTACAGTATATAGTTTAGTATGCACACCATTTAAAATACTTTTAGAGTAGAACAAGAACAGATGTGGGTAGATGAAGGGTTCCCATAATATTTTGAGGAAAGTATCATATAATGTATCATATGCATGAAAACTATTCTTCCTCAAGTGTTACACAACTGGCATTTACAGCCTATGGTTACAATGTCCGATTGTTAAGTAGCAATACTGTGAGGAATTTTTGCGTAATCTCGTGTGAAGAACCAATCACAAAATAAGATTACTTACTTTTATTTTTATGGTGCTGAAATGCATGTAAAATCTACTCACGAATTATTGTTCACGTGATTTGACGTCTAAAGGCCATTTTATAATATAAAGTACTCGCGTTAAATAAGGAATCTACAGTATCTAGTTCTTAAAAATTATATTTCCTTTCTTTAATAGTGGATATGTTATCAATATTACAAATCCAGTGGAGAAGACATATAATGAGATGAAAAGACATCTTTCAGAAGACACTGAACATTAAAACTTGGGAGTTGTCAAACTGACAGACTTTCTATCATTCCAATTGTTCAGCTTCTCACCAAGGTGATGTACTGAGGTAATCCAGCTACTGCTATCAAACCAAAGATATTGAGGTGCTGTGTCTGCAGACTTATGTATTCCCTCTCCTCTGACAGACAGAAGAGGAAGACGCGCAGGAAAGCATCATCCATTTCCAGGTCCCGCACTTCATCACCACTGAAACAGAGGATTTATACTATGCACACTTCAAACTTAATTTACTTAATAAATTAATTTTACTTTTTGCATGGATTGCTAAAACAAGAGGCCCATGGGCCACATCACTCACCTGAGCACTGTGGTAGGAAAGAAGCAGAAATAAGTTCAGTATAGAAAGGTTTAAATCCATAAGTGGTCCCAACCTACCCATAAGGGGTGGGGGGTATTATTTGAACAAACTTGAATCTACACTAACTAAGGATGCTTGCATATTTCTATGGCTAACTGTTTAACTTTGAACTTACACTGTGGTCCAACCACCCTAAACCCCCCCCCCATCCTTGGGGGTCATGATTTGAAGAAATCTAAATCTACACTACCTGCGGATGCTTCCATATAAATGTGACCAATCATGGCGTTGCTGTTCTTGAGAAAAAGATTTTTAAAAATTTGTCCTATCTATTCCTATGTAAAACTTTGATAGTCCATTGTGGCCCCACCCTACCCCAGGGGGGTCATGATTTGAACAAACATGAATCAACACTACCTGAGGCTGCTTCCATATAAATATGACTAATCATGGCTTTGCTGTGTTTGTGAAGAAGATCTTTAAAGATTTTTCCTATATATTCCTATGTAAAAGTTTGATCGTCCATTGTGGCCCCACCCTATCCCCTGGGTTTCATGATTTGTAAAAACTTGAGTCTACACTACCTTAGGATGTATCCAGATAAGTTTCATCTTTCCTGGCACAGTGGTTCTTGAAAAGAAGATTTTTAAAACATGCCACCAAATTTTCACTATTTTTAAATTATCTCCCCTTAAATGAGGGCCTGGCCCTTCATTTGAACAAACTTGAATCCCTTCACCCAAGAATGCTTTATGGCAAGTTTGGTTAAAATTGGCCCAGTGGTCCTTGAGAAGAAGTAGAAAATGTAAAAAGTTTACAGACAGACAGACGGACGGACGGACAGACAGACTACAGAGAAAATGTGATCAGAAAAGCTCACTTGAGCTTTCAACTCAGGTGAGCTAAAAACTGTTCCCCACTGTTTGCATGAAAACAATGGATGAATCAAATTTCTAGAGTAATGAATGCCTACACTCTTGATATAGAATACTGATATTTAGATTACTAATACATGTATATAAGAATAAAAAAATGTTGTGTTTTAGTTCTTTATTCATCAAAATTTGGCTTCAAATAATTGAAGATAGCCTGTCAACTACAAACTATTAATTTTCAGTGAGCATTTTTCATGTCCAGGAATAGACAGACACCACCTGTAAAAATTCACCTGGATGACTTGACAAGGTTGTTGAAGAAATTAAGTCCTGCAGTAAATATCCAACCCATGTCCCAGTCATAATCATCATTCTGCAGTAGACAAAGGAACCTGTCCAAGTAACCAGCTATCAGGTGTTTGTTGTTCTGTAAATCATAAACAAAAGTGCAGCTGAACTTCATTATCTCAAAAAAAAAAATGATATATCAAATACCATTGATATGTCAAGTCAACTGGAAGTCCCAGTTACTTTATCTATTTTAACTTCAGTATCTCAAATTCTGGAACATCTCTCTGTTTTTTCTTGGTCCCAAAAGGCTTGTGTGCACTGATGTCACCTGAGTACCGGTAATATTACAGTCATGGCACTAACATTACAGCCATGGGATACATTTCACAACTTTAAAAGAAGTTTTAATGCTGAGTACATATGTTTTATGGACATAACATGATGCACAACCAAAGGATGAAATGGATAGCAATAGGTCATCTGAATTACACTGTTGTCCTAATTAAATAATATCAAAAATTTGATTTTTGTAATATACACTTTCATCTGGTTAAAAGATATGCTGTAAAAAGATATTTACTTTTGTAACAGAAATAAATACCCAGCATTGTAATGATCCTTCATATATATTTATTGACAAAATCTGAATAAGAACTGAACTACTACAAGGACAAACCTGTAAGGACACCATTTCACTTGCTGAATTACAGAGTGAGTCCACCATTATCTCCTTGCCAACAGCTTCCATAGTTACCATGACAAGCTCAGCTAACTCCACCTCCAATTGCTTAGCTACTTTCAGCAGTCTGCAAATGGCATCAAAATGATGGGTAAATGTCACTAAATGATGTCCCTTTCTTTAAACAATCTCAGTTTTAGAAGCAAAGTGGAATGGCCACAAAAATAGCTAACTGGTTTGATGTCCTTTTCTAGATAGATCTCTTCCTTTTTTCACATTTGGATTTACAATGTATTTCTTTTTAAAAATTCATAGCCAAGATTACACTTAATTGAAATCAATTTCCTTGTATTTTTTACTTGAAGTTGTATTTATTCTTTTTCAGACTAATGTAATCATATCTTCAAAATGACAAATGTGGTGAATGTGCCTCCTACTTGAGTTGCTCCATAAGCTCCTCCACAAAAGATCCAGCTTTTGAGGAATACTCCTCAACATTTTCACATGTGGAATAATCCACAGACGTCAAAGCCACTATCATCTCCCTAGCTGTGGACACATTCTCCTGCAGTTAAATAAAGAAAAACTTGCTAAAGTATCCAGGTCAGTTTATAAAGTATCCAGGTCAGTTAATAAAGTACCGGTATCCAAGTCAGTTAATAAAGCATTCAGGTCAGTTTAAAAGTATCCAGGTCAGTTTATAAATAATTCTAGTATGAGTTGATAAACAGCTGATTCATGATTCATAAAACAACATCACTTCCCTCACAAGACAAGGATTTAGACTGAAGATTAACACTATAAAGGCCCATGGGCTACCCAATGCCCATCTGATTTACCCTGGCCTTGCTGTTCTTGAGAAGGTTCTTAAAAAGATTTTTCTCTATACATTCCTAAAACAATTGTACCCCATATTGTAGCTTTTGGCTCAAGTGAGCTAAGAACTATATTTAGCTTTATGTTGCATTTGCTCATTAAACATTTCAAAAGTAAATTCACAATCCTGTTTACATTTACGTGCTATAAAAATTAATTAATACAAAGTTTCACAAATTCTATTCACCACTTTCTTTAGACCATTAAGGTCATCTGAGTAAAATTAATAAATACAACCCCGTTAATGATTCATAGAAGTACAAAATAAAACAAGAGGCCCAAGGGCCTTAACGGTCACCTGAGTATAATACAACAATTTAGAAGTTAAATAAACTGACAGATGATGCATTGTTGCCCTAAAGCAAGAGAAGTAGGAAGATCAGGATCAACAAAATAATAAGTCTAGTATTCATTATCAACTCATAAATTAAGTTCTAATCTGTCCCCCACTTAACACTATCACCATGCAGACTATTAACAAACTATTAGTGCTTCTGTACTATTTTTAAACCCATATTAAGACCTCTAGCATTGACCTCTCTTATGGTCTTTGAAGAACTTTTAATAAGATAAGTTACTTTTGTCTCATTTTATTTATCTATTGCTTACAAGTCTACCTGATTATTAAAACTAAGAGAGTACTTTTTGAATTATAGGATAAACATTCTTGCATAATTATATTATTCTATTAACCTTTCAAATACATTATTTACAGTGTTTAATTATCAAAGGTGAATGGAAAAGGGGAATAACTTCTCTCAGTAGAATACAAGTTAATAGAGCCCTGCCCAGGACCAGAATGCTTAGACGAATGGTCCAGATGTTTAAAAATCTGGTAGAAATACACTTACTCATATCATTTAAACTTTTACTCAGTTTGCTTCCGATATGCCCAGAAGCAGAGAAGAATTTCACAGGTACAATGCATTTTGAATTCACTACAGATTCAACAAAGCCTTACCCTAACACCAGAACCCAAGACCAAGGGTCAAGAAATTTACAAATTTGGAAGAGTTACCCTCCTCATCATAACTATGGACTTCGAAGAATTAACACTTTTCCACTATATTAACAAAAGCCCCCCCCCCCCCCCCCCCATTATGCTAGAACCCCTGACCCTAGGACCACAAGATTTAAAAATTCTGTTCGAAGTTCCCATTTTCATCATAGCTAAGCAATTTATCTATCAGCTCAACACTAACAAGCAGACAGGATTAACTAATGATTAATTAATAGAATTAGTGCTTTTTCACTATATAATCAATAGAGCCCCCCCCCCCCCCCCCCTCAAGAACCCCAAAAACTGAGGCCATATATTTAAAAATTTTGGAAGAGGCATCCTTGTCTATCATAATCATGCACTTAGTTTGTTTAAATAATCTCCAGTAGCAGAGAAGAAGATTTTCAATCATGCACTTAGTTTGTTTAAATAATCTCCAGTAGCAGAGAAGAAGATTTTCAAAGAATCAATGCATTTTCACTATATAATCAATAGAGCCCCGCCCTAACACCAGAACCCCTGACTCTGGGGCCATGAAATTCACAATTTTTGAAAAGGCATCCTTATGCATCATAACCATGCACTTAGTTTGTTTAAATGATACCCAGGAGCAGAGAAGAATATTTTCAAAGAATTAAAGCATTTTCACTATATAATCAATAGAGCCCCGCCCTAAGTAACACCAGAACCCCTGACCCAGGGGCCATGGCTTTCACAATTCTGGAAGAGGCCCACCTCCTCATCATAAATATGTACTTAGTTTATCACCTTAATGCCCAGGAGCAGAGGAGAAGATTTTCAAAGAATTAATGCATTTTCACTATATAGTTGATAGAGCCCCGCCCTAACACCAGAACCCCTGACCCAGGGGCCATGGCTTTCACAATTCTGGAAGAGGCCCACCTCCTCATCATAAATATGTACTTAGTTTATCACCTTAATGCCCAGGAGCAGAGGAGAAGATTTTCAAAGAATTTATGCATTTTCACTATATAGTTGATAGAGCCCCGCCCTAACACCAGAACCCCTGACCCTGGGGCCATGAAATTCACAATTTTGGAATAGGTACTCTTGCTCATCATAACTATGTACTTAGTTAGTTTATTAAATATCCAGAAGCAGAGAAGAAGATTTTCAAAGAATTAATGCATTTTCACTATATAATCAATAGAGCCCCGCCCTAACACCAGAACCCCTGACCCTGGGGCCAAGAAATTCACAATTTTTGAAAAGGCACTTTTGCTCATCATAACTATGTACTTAGTTACTTTATTTAATATCCAGGAGCAAAGAACAAGATTTTCAAAGAAGTAATGCTTTTTCACTATATAATCAATAGAGCCCCACCCTAACACCAGAACCCCTGACCCTGGGGCCACGAATTTCACAATTTTGGCAGAGGCACTCTTGCTCATCATAACTATGTACTTAGTTCCTTTATTTAATACCCAGGAGCAGAGAAGATTTTCAAAGAATTAATGCATTTTCACTATATAATCAATAGAGCCCCGCCCTAACACCAGAACCCCTGACCCTGGGGCCATGAATTTCACAATTTTGGAAGAGGCACTCTTGCTCATCATAACTATGTACTTAGTAACTTTATTTAATACCCAGGAGCAGAGAAGAAGATTTTCAAAGAAATAATGCACTTTCACTATATGATCTATATAGCCCCACCCTGGGGCCAGAACCCCTGACCCTGGGGCCATGAATTTCACAATTTTAGTAGAGGGCTCAATGCTTATTACAATGATGCCAACAGTTTGACTGCTTGATGTCCAGGAGTAAAGAAGAAGATTTTTAAAGATTGCATTATTTTTGGTGGTTTTAGCCCCACCCCTCAGGCCTGGGGGGGGGGGGGGGGGGCAGGGACCATGAAATTCACAATTTTTGTTCCCCTTCACCCATAGATGTTATATACCAAATTTGGTTGAAATTGGTTGAACGGTTCTTGAGAAGAAGTTAAAAATGTTCAAAAGTTAACGCACGACGGACGACGACGGACGAAAACAGATAGCAATAGGTCACCTGAGTGACTCAGGTGACCTAACAAAACTAAAGCATCATGACCTGCATTTTTGAGAATTTAATTTTGCTGTTAAAATGTGCTATTTTTATAAATTTTAATGTAATTTGAAGCTTTTTGATCAATTTGTCTGAAATAAAATATTGAATTGTTTCAGAAGAAAGACTTCTGTACAGTTGAATATATAGTATTATATAAGAAGTCAATATTGTACAGGACGACAATAATGTAATTCTGCTTCAAACAAAGCTTTAAAATATTTCTTCCATCACAAATATGAACAACAGAATTATATAATCATTCTTTTTTCCTGCCAAATAAATAGAGACCCACCCTAACACCAGAACCCCTGACCCAGGGCCATGAATTTTTGGAAGATGCACCCTTACTTATCATAACCTTTTGATTAGTTCATCTGCTAAATACACTAGAACAGTGAAGAAGATCTTCAAAGAATTAATATAATTCACTATATAATCAATAAAGCCCCATCCAAACACTAAAACCCTGAACCAGGGGCCATGAGTTCCCCAGTTATGAAATATGCATTTTTGTTCATCCTAACTATGAACTTAATCTATCTGTTAAATACACAGAAGCAGAGAAGAAGATTTTCAAAGAAATGGTACATTTTCACTATATAATCAATAGATCCCTGCCCCTACACTAGAAAAACAAATCCAGGCCATGAGTTTCAAAATTTGAGAAGAGGCACCTTGCTTACCTTAACATTAGTTTATCTGTTAAATACAATGGGCAGAGAAGATCTTCAAAAAATTAATGCATTTTCACAATAAACTCAATAGAGCCCAATCCTAAACCAGAACCCCTGACCAAGGGGTCATGAATTCAATTTTTGGTTGAGGCACTGTTGCCTATCATAACCATTTACTCAGTTAATCTGCTAAATACCCTGGAGCAGAGAGAACAATTTTCAAAGAATTTATCATTTCACTATATAATCAATAGAGCCCCATCCTTACACCAAAATCTCTGACCCAGAGGCTATGAATTTCACAATTTTGAAAGAAGCATTCCTGTTCATAGTAACAATGAACTTAGTTAATCTGTTTAATACACAGAAGCAGAGAAGAAGGTTTTCATAGAAATAGTGCATTTTCATTATACATATATAATCGATAGATGCCTGCCCATACACCAGAATCACAGATCCAGGGGTCATGAATTTCACAATTTTGGAAGACACCCTTGCTTATCATAACCATGCACTTAATTTATCTGCTAAATATAGTACCAATGAGCAGAGAGTAAAATCTTCAAAGAATTAATGCATTTTCACTAATCAAAAAAGTCCCATCCTTACACCAGAACCCCTGACCCAGAGGCCTTGAAATTTACAATTGTGGTAGAGGCATCCTTGCTCATCATATCCATGCAATTAATTTATCTGCTAAATATACAGGAGGAGAGAAGAATCTTTCCAAAGAATTTATGCATTTTCATTATATAATCGATAGAACTCCATCCCAACTCCAGAACTCTTGATCCTGGGGCCATGAATTTCACAAATTTGGTAAAGGACTCAATGTTTGTTATAGTCATGCCAACAGTTTTACTGCTTGATGTCCAGGAGTAAAGAAATTTTTTTGAATATTGCTAATTTTGATGGTTTTGGTCCCACCTCTTAGGCCACAGAAATCATAAAATTTACAATTTTGTTCCCCTTTGCCTGTAGATGCTCTATACCAAAATTGGTTTCGTGGTTTAGAAGAAGAGCTGAAAATGTTCAAATGTTTATGACTGATGAACAATGCATAGTTTTTACCTTCCATTTCCAAGTGCCTTTCCATTTACTTTCGTTGATGACACGATTAGCAGCCTCCATTAAATTTTTGTTGCACCAGGAACAACATCCAACAACAAAAGACAGCCAAAATCTGGCCAACTCTGTCCTAAATACAAGAAGTACAGTTGATGTATACCCAGTAATCAAAATACAGTAAAACATAGCTACAGCAAACACACTTATAATGAATAGATAACATATGTACTTTTCTGTTGGGGAGGGTGGTTATACAGTCACATACTTGGGTTTTAGATGACGTATGTATTTTTCTGATGCGTTTTCCAACTCGTCGCCTGTTGTTGTCTCTTTTGGAGATTTCTTGAGTATCTCAACTGCTGTCAAAGACCATATCTCAAACAACTTGGGATTCTATGGGAAACAACCAATCTATTTCCCTAATACTATTTAATAGAACAATGTTTATGCCAAATTTGGTATTTTAAATATAATTTTTACCATGGGAAAGCATCTTCTTACTACATGTACTACCAAAATTTGAAATTACTTTAGAATTTGTAACTTTGTAGATGTTTTTTGTACAAATTTCACACAACAATCCTTCCAGACTTCTAAAAATCAGCAATTTATGCATGTACCTAATGTTTCTAAAATTAACTACCTTAAAGCACTCCTCTGGAATATATCTATAGAAACCATCTAGCCTTTCTAACAGGGACTTTTCCTCTGGAGCTAAAGTCTTCAGACTCAGAACCTTCAACAATTCAGCAATGTCTCCATAAGTCTCCTCTATCATGTGGGAGTCCCTGAAAATACAGTATAGTCTATGGTGAACACCAAGTCCTATATATTTGTCAATTCTTACACTTGAAATCTAGATTACTTTTAATTGTGCAAGTAATTAGCAATATTTGCAATGCTTACTTAATCTGAAATATGTCTTTCAGTTTATATTTTGTTTTTTCAGCGATTTCTTGACTTTGAGGGAACTCTGGATCCTTGATAAAATTCTGAAGCTTCGTCAGCTGTTTCCTGTAGAAAACAGCATCTTGTAAACCCTACAGATAACATATAGAAAGATTTAATTTCATCTTGCAGAACATTATAAAACTTGTACAAAAGATTAATTGTATGATTAATATTATATCAAAGCAAATTTTTCTTGATCTATAAATTATAGTTTACTTGTTGATCTATTTCGAGCAACACATACATGTGACAAAATTCTTTTGTGAAAACATATACACCTAGGTTTAAAACTAAATAAACATAATACCCACACAAAATGGCTGTCTGTCGTAAGCCTGGTAGATTTTGTCCTGGGCAGTGATGAGTGTTTTTCTCAGTGTGACTGATATCTGGGGAAGCTGAACCAGATAGAAGACAAACAAGTCCAGGCAAGCTTTGTGAACCTCAGGCAACATCAGACGTTCCTTGTCGTCCTTCCTAAATGTACAGCAATGTATACATAGTAGCATAAGATGACCATGTTAGCCAGCTAGTCTAGGTAAGGGTGTTACTTTAAACAATAATTATTAATAAAAACTAAATGGATTGGGCAACAGGCAATGTCTATAATTACCATCTCCATAAAAAAATTCAAGGTATAAATATACTACATGTATGAACTGAATAAAATGTATGTTACAAAATGGGCAAAGAAACACATTCACACACAGAGATTAAGGTCAGATGACACATTCCTCAATAATATATAATTTTTTCCAAGAATTTGTCACTGAAGTATTGCTACTTTAACAAGTTTCCTCACAAAAATTTAAGGTACCTCATGAGGCATTTGTGCAAGATACCAGAGGATGCTATTTACTATATAATCCTATTTGAAATCACTAGCATTGCAAATATCACAATTTTTTGGTGGATTTATCTACTTAGACATTTTGGAAATAGTTTAAAAATTACAATACATTGATAACAAGAAGTCTGTGCGCCAATGCTCACTAATAATACCCCCGCTCTGATGTGAATACACAAGTTTAGTTATGGGACAGACACAGTGATAATCAGGAAGTTGACATCGGATTTGTCCAAAAATAAATCCCAAAATATGGCATGCCTAAACAATGAGTGTGCTAAAATTTCAAACATCTGCGATGAGTAGTTGCTGAGAAAACTGCCATCCAAATTTGCTATGTATGGTATGGACAGGTGCGTCTTTTTACCACAAGGAACCACAAGGTACCACAAGGATACCACAAGGAACCGCAAGGATACCACAAGGAATCACAAGGAACCACAAGGAACCCCAGGGATACCACAAGGTACCCCAGGGACACCATATACAACCTTAATTATTCTAAATATGGTTTATATGCACTTGTAAATTAGAAAAAAATGTTTTTGAGAGGCAAATTAACACTTTAATTATCTTAAATATGGAGCAGTTATCCAAGTTAAAAATTTAAAAGTAAATATACTTATTTAAGCTCAATTATGCATTTATAGTTCAGAGGAACAGTTAAACTATTGTATCTTTTTATGATGTACAAAAAGTTAATGGTTAATTGTGTATTGCAGTAGTCAATACACACACCAAAAGTTGATATCCGAGAAGAACCCTAATGATAACCCCTGTACCACTAGGATAAGCCAAGGTACCTGAAAGAAAATCCAAATGACACTCAATTCAACTTTTAAAAAATCTTTTCATGGTTTAAATGCATTTGTTAATTATGAATGATAACTGTTTATTGTATATTTGTATACAAAACATAAAGAATAAAAGAACCCCATGGGACGATTAGGACCATGATGAAATCTCTACAAACAAACCCAAAAAAACCACTTAGATTAATAAATGACATTCCATTCAACCTTAATAAATCTAAATATGATTTATGTCCATTTGTTAATTACAAAGTAAACTGTTTATTGTAAATATAATATTTCTTTAGGTCACCTGAGTCATTCAGGTAATCTACCAATTGTGATTTGATTATGTTTGTTGTTCATTGGTCATAAAATGTTGAAATTTTCAGCTTCTTTTGAACCACTGAACCAATTTTAACCAGTTTTGTGGGTAAAGTTAACCAGTTTTTATAGGTAAAGGGAAACATGAATTTTGAATTTCATGGTCCTTGACCCCTCTCCCCTTCTGGGCTTGAAGGATGGGACTAAAACCATCAAAATATATGCAATTGTTAAAATCTTCTTCTTTACTCTTGGAAATCCAATAGTCAAACTGTTGACATAAATGTAATTTAATTGAGCACTCTATCAATTGCAAAATTTGTGGCCCAGGGGTCAGGTTTTAGGGTAATCTGGTGAAAAAGCATTATTTCTTTCAAAATATTCTTTACTCTAGGATATTAAATTAGGCAAACATATTACCAGTAAATGCATGGTGTGATGCATATATGAGCAAGGGTGCCTCTTACAAAATTGTGAAACTTTATGGCCTGTGGATAAGCTAAGGGTTCTGGTGTAGGGTGAGGATCTATTGGTAATATAGTGAAAAAGCATCATTTTTTTTTGAAAATCTCTTTTGAAAGTGCTTACAGTTGTGTTGAGAAAATGTATACGGTGCCATTTTCAAATTATTTCTTTTAAAACCCCTTCTGCCCCTGGTATTTAAAACAAAAAATAAATTATTTATGTCAGAAGTGCAACTATAGATGATTTGGGGGAAAAAAACTTGCATCCTCATTCAAGTCTAGAAAGTATGAAAAACTACCCATAAATGGTTTACAATTTCCAAACAATGAAGTGCCTTTAATTACAAAAAAAAAAAAAAAAAAAAAATGAGTGTGTTATAAATTTAAGATGATGTTTTTTTTTGTAAACATATCTGAGAAGTCAGGAGCTAGTGCAACAAAATGAGTTAAATAGAATCACTTCCAAATCTTGTATTTAAAAAAAAATAACACTTTCAAAATTTTTTTTTTGCCTTATTAAGTTTTCAGAATTGCCTTATATAAATTGATATTAAGTAATTTGTTGGGATTTAATTTTAACACATCATTTATTAAACTTTCCACATGAGTTAAATTTATGGTCTGACTGTCTGTATATGATCAAATTTTTGGTGGAGATTTGTCTTTTTAAATAAAAATAGTTCTAATTTTTCAAATAAAATTCTGTTAACACTGGTTAATAAAAATTAATTCTGAAACTTTTCTTTGGATTTGTGTATTCTATTGGTATACTTAAAAAGTATTCAACTAGAATGTATATATATATATACATATTATGATCTTACAATTGGAAAAATATGTTAAAACAAACTGATTTTTCTCCAAAATTTCAGTTTTTGAATTCATGCACCTTATATATCCAAATGTAAGTAAACAACAATAATTTCAGTTAATTTACTAAAACTACACTGCTTTTGAAAAAATTTCCTGGGTAAAAATCGCAGGAAATAAACTAGAAAAACTATATATATATATATATATATATATATATATATATATATATATATATATATATATATATATATATAAACACAAAAACTTTTCTCAACGAAACATTTTCGTTCATTGTTTTCATAGCATTTATTCCTTAATACAATATAAAACAATCATGTACATGTAAAAAGGAAGTCCAAGGTTGTGAGTTAAATTTCTTTGTTATGGAAATGCATGAATTCAAACTTATTAATTTCTCTATATTAGATTGATACATTTTTTAAAAAATAAATCATCATGCATTCATGGCATTGTATGAATGTCTATAGATTGTACAGAATATGATCATCTCAATTAAGAGAAGTTTAATGGAATATAGAAATGATAGCATACATCTATTTTCAATGACATATGGAGAACTCTCTTGTGTACAGAATTTCTTGTTAGCATGCATGCATATATCCACAATTTCTGGTAATCATCAGTGATGATCAACAGTTTTCAGTGATTAACTTGTGTATACACAAGGACTGGTTACACCATACCTTAGGTGTATAAACAAATGTAAAACTGCATGGTTGGTGATAAAATACCTGGGTTTTATATAATCAACAAACTTAATAAGTTTTTCATGTACCATTTACAAATGGTTTTCCAAAATTTTTTCCAAACTTGAGTCTTGTTTCTACTACCCTGGTACTTTCAACTTTTCTACAGATCTACAGTCTGCTAAAGATGGGCAATAATTTTGAAAATTGTTTATAAAAAATAAAATAAATGTATAAATGTATAACCCATTCTTTCCTGCGCATCAGTGAATCATATATGGTGCCTGCCATTGGTAAAATTAACAATATCAATTAAAGTTGGCCAAGGGTTATCACGATATTAAACTTAATTGATGAGAAGCTGATTTCCTAAAAAAAATTCTGTAAACCCATTTTGAGGTAATTAAAAACATTTTTTTAAAAAATACCAAACTTTATATGGTTTGTGGGGAACTTGACAGATCTCCCTCTGAATTATTTCTTTTGGGGTTTTTAAATAACAATTCTCCGAGTTCAAAAATTGTATGCAAATTTTTTTAAAATAATTTTTTATTAAAAATTCATGTGATTTTGTAAAAAAGAAAAAAAAAAGTGAATGTGGATTCACTTCTTTGTGGCATAAAAAAGTTCACTAACTCCTTAAAATGGCTCTGTCCCTATACCAATTAACTGACAATGTCCCAAGATTCCATTTTAACGACGTTGGATCCTGATATTTAAAGTCTTAAACTTTTTTTGTCAAGTATATTTTTAGCTTGTACACACTTAGCTTAATTAAAAATCAAAACAAAAAATGGGGGTCAATATGCTTCTTTTGGCGCTACAGTACATTTAAAATGACCTTTTTGCACTGAATTTGTGTCTAATCAAAAATAACATCTTCGACGTTTTCCCTCCAATATTTTTTATCCAAATAAATCATGGGACAAAGTATGCTATTATTCTCTTTTAAAAAAGACACATTAAAATTGTGACAAAGAAAAATTTTCAAATTGCTTCGCATAATCAATTATTTGACCTTTCTGCACTCACAAAATGTCATTTTTCGGGCATTAAAAATTTAACAAGCAAGAAAAATATTTTAAAGTCTTAAACTTTTGCTGAATTTAAGTAGATTGAACAGAGTTATCTTATATATTCAGAAAAGAAAATCAAAAGTGGAGGTCTATGATGTTATTTTTTAGATATTACTAAAAAACTGTTAATTTTGTGATAAAATTGGCTCAATTTTTTCCTGGAGTTTCAGAATATATTTTCTATATTTGTCACAATATGATGATAGAATTCACAAAAACTGATTTAATTAATATTTTAGAACCAGCATTAAACATTTCAATGCACAAAATAGCTCTGTGTGCAACCAGCATGGAAAAATAGGAATCTAAACTTTACAGTACTGTATATATTTCAAAAGGGAAAAAATGATCATTTTCTTCTAAAAAAATCTTCCGCCACAAAATATAGTTCCTGGTTTAATCCTATTTGAATGGAATTTAATCGCGTTTTTTCATTGGATATAGTATAATTTGCA